GAACAAATAATACTATTATCAAGGCGAGTATTCTCATCCCAACTTAAATCAATTGTCTTATTACCATTTTAAATATATGCAATTACCTCATCATTTGAGTTTTTTTTTTAAAACAAGTAAATGTGATCGAAATAATTTTAAAACATGAAACCGTTAAATAACAAATAGATTTTTGAAAGATCTATCATATAACTTGATCCATGAACTAATTTTATTTTCTCAATATAAGGTTGATTTAGAACATTTCAATGAAATTCAACATGTTCTTCAGTTGTTCTTAAAACAGTAAATAATGTATTGATTTGCGTCTTTGTAAAAATTAAATTGATTGTTAACAAGTGATAGTTTACCTAAAATACATTATTTTCTGAATATGTTCTTTAATCGGTTGATTGAATTATCGCCGATTAAAGTATATGTTATTATAAGTTTAAACTTATGTTGAAATAACAATATGACAAGTGTTATTAAAAGAAACATATATATTAGGATATGTATTTATTTTATAGAACATACATCAGATCAACTTATGCTTAATTATATAATAAAAGTTGAATATTGAACTACAAACACTGTTACTATAGAAACTCATTATTAAAAAATTACTACCTGAAGTTAACTGATATAGGATGAGTATAGTCTATGCCCGTTTGTACATGAGATATACATACGATTCTGTTATACTCTTTAATAAATTCCAAATTGTCATTAAGCGTTGTTATTCATTGACAGATTTTAAGTAGGTCAGCTAGTAAAAAACTATTTGATTTATTTTTATGGATGTTGAAATGTACGCCCAATTGTATCGAGTATTCCAATAGACTGACTATCAGTCAATTAATTATTATTCATTAAGACGACTGAAACATTTTTTCGTTGATTACAAAGATAATATATTAATGTTTTGACTATATGAACAGTCTTCCAATTAAACTATTAAATTAACACATAAAAGAATATTTTTCTCAACGTTACTAACATTAGTGCCTATTGCTGGGTGTGTATGAGTAACATGATAATTTTGTGGCTGCTTTTATATAAAAGTTATAGAGAAAAACAACTAAAAATTGATTTGACGATGAGTTACTGATTAAAAACTGAGGTAGTAGATGGCAGAGATACACTTTTCAAGTGTTAATGAAATCAATCAAATATGGAATTTCAAACTATTTGAATTCATCGAAAGTTGTCCTAATACTATGTGGTTATCTACAGCTTATGCATCTGTCAGTAAATATCGAAATATGTGATTTTATGCCAAAGTCGATCCTCCTCGAAGTGTTCCAAATGACAGAAGTAATAGTTATTCGGATTTAGAAAATGGAACTATCTGTACAAAAGAAATGTGTTCAACTCCTTCTCTTACATACATTTAATTCCCTTAATTATCTTACATTAGCCAACTTCAGTTCCAATAAATCAGCAGTTTTCTTAGTTATAAAATTACTTTCTTTAATTAGTGTACGTACAACCTTAAATTCAAATGCCATAATTCTAAACAATAAATTTACCATGTCGAATTCTAAATCATGTATGAAGTGTCCTCACCAAGTGTTGTCTTAGAAAGTTTTCATGTATATATTGCTAATGCCTAAAGTACAAGATAACTAAATGGTACTCGCCGTTTAACAAACTACTTTTTTATTTAGTGTCATCGTACATCATAAATCGTCTATAAACAGCTACTTAAACTAGTGTCTGTAGAGACACTGATGTGCGGAACAGTCAACTCATTTATCGGACGCTAACGAGATGCTACTGTTCATATCTGGATACTGAATAAACGTACAGATTAATGGTGCACAAAAACGACAAATTGTGTAAACTATTTACAGCCTTAAAAACCAGTTTATGATTATATCAATAAACTTAAAAACTAATTATATATTGTTCCCGCTTGAATATATGCCAGTTGTGGTCACGCTGAAACAACAAGTTGCAACATCTAATTAATTAATAATAACAATACTATATGCTTTTCGTTTGTTCAACTTAAAGTGTCCAATTTAGAAATTATTTCAAATTTGTCAAATATTGTCAATGAATCTATCCGTCTGGTGGAAAAGTACGTAGTTAAATAAATAAATTTAAGAAATCATAATCTCCAGTTAGTCTCTAAGTCTCAATTAAGTACTCATATGTTTAAACAATCTTAATTGTACTTCAAGACTTTCCGCAGACTGCCTACTTACTACATGATATCAAATAAAGTCCACTGGAATGTTGAGTTAATGCGAATATTGAAAACATTCTAAGTTGGTCAAGGATTAGATAATAAGCAATCGCTTGGTAGTTAGCGAACGGTTGGTGCAAATATCTCAATTATATTGGAGATTAATTGGGGCCAAAATAGTTCAGTGATATGGCTACTGATCATGTCACTGAGCAGCATGCGATAAAATCAGAAGAGAATACGTCTTCGCAAGATATCACTACTAATGCACAATAGTAGCTAGTACGAAATCTAAGTTTTAAATCTCATAATGATTATCGCCAACCATCCAATGTAGAAGGCAAAATGAGTTTAATTCACACCTTAGTCCATTTTTATACCCAAGTTTTTTTAATATTAAACTACATTTTTAAATTTTTCGGGTAAGAGTCCCCGTTAAAACAAATAGTTATAGAGAATCTTGAAATAGTTTTCATCACGAAATTCCTTTCTCCGGGCTGGATGGTTTATTCGTAACACTTTCATTCGAAAAAACAAAAACTGTATGTTTAAGACGGAAAAGTTCGTAAAATTAGTAAGAAAACAATTATTCATTATTTCTGGATTTCCAACGACTCTCTAGATTATTGATTTCAGTTGACTATTGAAAAATTAACCTCATATAATATTACAAATACGTATTCAATTAATATTAATGTAGTTATGCTCGACTAATTACTTACTTCAATAATCCTAGGATTTCAATATAAGCTGCAAATGTATTCATTATCATTCGAATGAATTTATCGATATTTTTTTATGTGTTTAATTATAAGGTTGTGCATGAACTTCCACAGTTTCACTCGGTTACATTTTCAGTATTTAAATAAATATTTTCGGTCAGTTTACAGCACACATCATTACAATAGTATTATATATGAACAAATGAACGTATAAATACACTTGTCCTATAGAATATTTTTAATTATAATATATGTATTATTAGTAAGCCAGGTCACTTACATTGAAAAGTTAAGCCTACTTTGCGTCATTAATAAATGGTGAATAAGCTTACACAATATAACCGGTTATAGATTAAACAATTACTAGTCTATATATCAATAGGATTACTTATATAACCAAATTATTTTTGTGATATATGTAATAGAATATGTCAGACTACATAATTAGAATATAAATCTATAAGCTTTATAATTATATATTTTTAGTATATCGGTTTTGTTAATTCGTATAGCCATGTCAGATTAAAGTTTGTGACATGTCATATGCTGGTTGGTTGGGCTACAGTAAATGTAGCCAGTAATATTAGTCTAAAAAGATTGTAGAGATTGTTGAATTATGTTGTTTACATCACAGATAGACTTTAGTTAGGTGGCCAATAAAAATCATGATGTACTGGACAGCTGTCTCATCCAAGTAGAGGACTTTATTATGACAATGTAAAATCGGACACAGAACTTTCAAGTCACGCGGTTAGCGATTAACCTTTAGACCAATGAGTCAACGTCCAATGGTTTAAACTCTAAGTTCTAAATATAAGCAAGTGAAAAATCTGTAAAAACCCCTTGTACTATTAATAATAATAATTTCCTCGATAGCAGTTAATTTTGAGAGATCCGATGAAAAATTGGGACGATTAGAGTCTAATCATGTTTTGTATGAGACACTAACCCACAAATTGTATTGAAAAACTGTTGCGCGAAATTGCAAACTGGTTGAAAATTAAAATGTAAATTACTGGATAACTGCTTAGTAGTCCAAAGCTTGGGTATTTATCACTGGACCTTAAGGTCCTGGATTCAATCCCTGGTGAACTTGAGGTTGTAAACTGCTGAAGAGCACCACAATAATTACTTCCCAGTTTTTAGCGGTTGCCCAACTAAAGTCAGTTTGTAATGTACACTACGATAAATAGTACATCTGACAGTGAACAGACGTAAAATCTTGGCTGCCTGAGATTTGTTGAAAAAATATAAATAATATAAGGGGGAAATTTAGGTAATTTTGTGCAGAAATCTTTTGCAGTGGTGCAGATTAATTCATTCGTTATCTGCTTCTGAAATTTGAATATTATTATTGTGATTTTGTATTCTCCGTCCCAAACTTATGTGTTACCTTTTGGGTTTTGTTATGGTTGATATAGATTTTTTTGATCTTTTTTAATTTTGTGTGTTATTAATTACTATATGACAAAGATCATAGTAAAGTGTACCAGACTTTGACGATGAATATTTGTGCTAAGTTCTACATTTATAATGACTGAAAATGAATGGATAAACAGTTTAAGAATAACTTCTAAAAAATTCATATTCATGATTTTATCACAGTTGTAGAGAATATTGTTTTAAACATATCGAAAGGAATCTTAAACTTATTGAATGAGACTAATTCACTCATTTGATGTTAAATCAGTGGTGAGAAGTCCCATACTAGGACGAAACGGCCATCCAGGGCTTCAAGGTTTTCAATGGTGGTCTGACATTTATCCATTCATGATATCGATCTAAAATGATAACTTCGACATTGATTCTCTTGTGATCAAGGAATATTTTTTTAAAAATCTCCTAGTACGTTTGAAATGTTCAGTAGCGAGTACTATTATTTCATCGAAAAATTAACCTTGGTTCGTCATGCTACTTTGATGAGTTACCTACTTCGTGGAACACACCTTCGGAATAAACCAAGAAAATAAGATTATCGTAAAAACATGTTTGTATATTAACAAAAAAAGGTAAATATATACATATTATAAAATTTATTTTAAAACGTGAGATTTTTTAATTACTTATTTTTATCCACATTATATTTAGTTTCTATAAATGAAGAATTATTTCGGTTGTAAATTGGTTTTGGATAGTTTATGTTCAAGATTTAATGGGATATTCGTTAGGTCTTCTAGTTCTGGTGGATGATTAATACCATGAAATATATTATTTATATATTGAGAATTTAAAATTCCTAACTGGTGATTATCACTGATGCTTTGAATAGGTTGAATGAACATTTTATATAATCTAGCAGTTTGAATAAGATGACTTGCACTTGCACGTAGAGATAAAGCTAACAGACTGGTAATAGTATTTGGTGTTGAGAAGACTGACAATGGTGTAGTTGTAGACGACATGGATACTATACCAGTTGTAATATTTGAAACTGCTGGCTCTAAATATTTTGTTGTATTTGACAAATCAGTTGTACACTAAAAGTAAATAGACATTTTGGTTCAAAAAAGATGTTCATAAAATACATTTTAGAGTGAAACTAAAACTTAGTTGATCGTGAAATAATACGGATGATGTATTTATAAGTTGGAAATGTCAGTCACTCAGTCAGTAACAACGTAGAAATTCGTACGTATGTACATCAGTTCGAGTTGCCACACCACATTAGCACAGAGATACAATTGTCGAACCAATAAAAAACAGTGAGTTATGTTTAGTGAACAATATCATGAGATCGATATCATCAATAGCATGTATGATGAAAGTGCAATATCACAAATGAATAGAAGATGCAAATGTAAAACAATGTATTTTAAATGTTTAGTTAATACAAATTGTTAAAATTCATTTTGTATTGCTTGTTTGAATCTTCTCAATGACGTTTAAGACTGAAATTCATCAGTTTCTTATTGGCATATGTGCATCCTATACGAATTGCTTCGAGATTGCCTTAAGTCACAAGCATTATAAATAAAGATGAGTGGTGGCTAGCAGTGGAATCCAGGATGTAGGTACATCCAACTGACGAGTCCCAAACAGGGAAAAACACGCATCCTGGATTTCACTGTTAGCCACCATTCATCTTTGCTTATAATACATATTGTTGTTTACAGTGGTTCTTTCTCTTCCCTATAATATATACAAAGCATATAAAATCAAAATGAAACTGGTTGGATAAATGAGTTCAGATGTGAACAATTTCTCATTACCCGTAAAGAATTGAAATTCTCTTATAAATCATGAAACTAAAATGTCAGATATTTTCGAAAAAAAAACTAAAGCGTGTTGCTTTTTTTAAAATTTGTACTAGTTATAGGTACTGTTCTACATCATTTTTTACATTTTTCACTTTGATTTGAAACTATTTGTAGCAGTAATTTCTGTTACATATTTTCATGTATTAATAAAGTTCATGTTTATTTATTTATTTGTTTATTTTTGAGATTGAAGAAGTAAGCAACACTCAGTGATGGAGCTTTCATTTGAAAGTAGAAGACTTAATGAGAAATAAACAGTCAGTCAGTCAGTAACAACGTAGAACTTCGTACGTACGCACATCAGTTCAAGAAATGTACAAACAAAAATTAAACAATGTGGTTAGTTCTAAACTATTGAATGAAATTTTAATTACATTACACACTTAGTATTAGAAAACTATTATCAATAACAAATCAACTATTATAGACACTTACAGTTGAATTGATTGGATTCGATTCATTATGTTTTAAATGATAGATTAATGATGGTTGAGTAAAAGACATTGGATAAATAAAAGGAATATTTGAGATAGAATTATTTGGTAAATAGACATATTCAGTGTTTATCATATTTATATTATTATCATTTTTATTATCTACAGAAGTGTTGGATGTTGCGTTTATTTGATTAAGTTCCATTTTGGATATCATACTATCTGTATTCCCTGAAACTGGATACAGTATGTTTAACATGCTTGAGTTCGATGTCGAGTTAGATGATATTGGCTGAAAAAGAAAAAATCCCTCAAAGATATTTAAATTTATGTTTAACATAATTAAGTTGATTAGAATTTTTGAAAAATTTTTCACCTGAATTGATTAGCTTCTTACTAGTAAACAGATGAAAACGAAACCAAAGAACCTGTTGCTTTAAAGTAGTTGCCCAATTAGTCATTCAAATATTATTAAGATTAGTAACATAATACAAAAATAAGCGTAAATAACTGTCTTTCAGTTTTCCATTCTCAGGTGTGACTAAACATTGCAAAATAAAGCATAAAAGTACTAGGATTCCAACATGGTTTGGGATGGATTTTATTATGAACTTTGATTTTACATGCAAACAATATAAAAGAATTATAGTTACACTAATTAGAGAAGTAATAAACGAGACCATTACGAACAAGTAAAGAAAAGATTTAATGAAGCTTATAGTTGATAAGGCATCTCTAGTGTGAGTATCATAAGCCATCATACATTGAAGTGAGTAGAGAGACCTAATACTGTTCTAAGCCTTACAAAGTTTTTTCTAACTGTGGTTACCCTTCACGTAGAGAGTCATATACAGAAGACTGAAAAGAAGCCCTTTGCCTGGGCTCCGTTATCATCGGAGCCCCTAAACAGAGATTGTCTACAATATTGGAGGAACTGACAGTATGAAATATTTAGTTTTCTGTGTTTGTAACTGATAATATGTTTATTGTCAAATTATACCGAATTTTATTATTCGTAAAAAAGCAACCGATTAAAGTCATCTAAAAGAAAAACTAAATTACCTTTCCTGTGAAGGCATCTGGTGCTGTAACTAGCCCAACTATATCACTTTGGGTAGATAAATTGTCTTTAAATTTAAACAGCTGAACATTATCATCATTTTTGGATGTATTTATTGATCTCTCCTTATTTTTCGCTTCACACTTATATTCTTCACTCATTTGTTGAATGAAGTTAATTAATTCATAGTTAACAGGACTTCTATTGAATCGGTCATTGAAATTTGATGAAAGTGATGTATTTGATTGTTGTTGAAAAACTACTTTGTCACTTGGAATTAAATGATTAGTCGATGGAAGAGATGCTAAAGAAGAAATAACAGTTGACTGTAATGGTACCATGTATATAGAACTTATTGATATACTGGTATTTACTTTTAGGGATAGAGTGGATTGACCAGATGTTGATATATTCTTATTCACTTTGTTCAAATTACGTCTATACAGTTTCAGCTGACCACGTATTTTTAATCTGATTTGACGTGAATCAAATTGAGGAAATGAGGTTTTACAAGCCTCTTCTATTTGAGTTAAATGTTCTTGTGATTGTTGAGTAATTGAAAGATCAGGATCGAGTAACTCGTGAGTTAATCTTCGGACAAAACGCTATCATTAGAATAAAACAATTAGAATCAATGTACAAGAGAACCTAAAATTAAATTTAAATTATATTCATATGATGGCAATGTAGTATTTACATCTATGATGGTATTAGCACACTTATCTATACTAGATAGAATAAGAGACTTAATCCGATATTATGGACTTGCCATGATATAACTACCTAAACTATAGCAGCAGTAATTGTTGTCTTTTTTGTTCCATGCTCTCTAATTCCGTTTTATTTTCTCAAATTGTAGATGGTTATCATCATGGAGCAGAAATGACTTTGAATGCATCGTTAATACATCAACTTAAAAAGAGTTAAGAGTTCACGACTGATACCTTTCATTGCTGTAACACGTATGAAAAATGTATTACCTAAACAATTTTGACCTAGATCATTTAAAACAACCTTATATCACATATGTTTTCTAAATTTAATATTACTATCTATATCAAGCTGATCATACCCGTAAACTGACATAAGTTCTGTAATTATTAATCCCAGAAATTGTTACTATCATTATTACAAGTTCTTACATCGAAGTCATGATATAATATGTACTGTCTCATCCTTTCGTAAATGTCAGTAATGTTTCTCTCAAGAACCATTACAGAATATATTCACGGTGTTAATATAATAAAATATTTATTATAAAAAACATAAGGTTACATAGAGTGACTACGCCTACATGGCAGAGCCATGCCATATTCATTACATGTTCCCACATTGAAATTTTCTGACTTTCTCCGAGTGTTCAGTTACTAACGTAAGTCTTCTCATTTATTGTATATTCGGTTTCAAGAATAATGTAGTTGGGAACCAATGTCACTACAGCTTCATATTAAAAATTCTTCATAATAACAAACTTTAACCATGAAGAGTATAGATAAACAATGGTGAAAAGACTAAGAGTAAGCGATGATGACCAACAACAAGAATATTAAAAATGCTATAACTTTAAGAAAGATGTTTTGATTCATTTTGAACTGCTTACATCCATTTTTGCATTTAAATATATGCACAGGATACTAAGTATGTATTTTAAAAAGTGGTAATTGCCTTTATATACAAACGAGGTGGAATACATTTTAGTTGGACAGGAACATTTGTGGTTAGGTGATTATGGTGATTTGAGGTAGTCAACAGGGAAGCCTGAACCTATATTTTTCGTGCCACTTGACACTCGTCAGACAGGCATACCTCTAATTTTGAGGTAACTGATGCTACCTAGTGCATTCGATTCTGTGTCACCCAGCTTCGCAATCACAGAGCTTACCACAGCTATTCGGGTTGTCATTTTTCATTTGTAGAATTGATATGTTTAAAATTAATTAGTCATTGAGTAATGACTAGTTTCATTTGAAGTTATGTGTGTTTACACCAATTAGCGTAGACATTCTCAAGACTTCAGGAAAGTAAAACGTTTCTGTAATCGGTTTTATTAAACGGTTACTTGAAACACGAATAATCGTTATGAGTTCAAGTTAATTATGTATGTAACATTATCTAAACAAGGCTGTTAATCTAGATATTAATTAAGGTATTCGGTAAAGAAAAATAGTTGTGAAACAGTTTTGTTCTGATAAGTTGACAATCAAACTGTGGATAGACAACATGGGATGAATAGTTGAAAACCTATGTGTTACCGGTATGCGTGCAACGTATACTAGTCTTAGGTGAGACGCTCGCGCGCCAAGACTCAGAGAAAACTCACGGATTTCTTATGAAGATAAATACATATGGCGGGTGTGCCTCAAAATGACAGTTTTCCTGTCAGAAAAGCCGATTGGCTTCGCCAATGAAGCATGACTAACCTTGTGGCTGAAAATCTCTATATGATATTTGGATCTGACAAGGTTAATTGAAACTGAGCACAAAAATTTGAAATGAACAAACTAGAACAAATTTACCCCAAATTCTAATTCTAAATATGTTGGTCTCCGTTTCACATAATGCTCGTGTTTATTTTCATAGCTTTCCAAAACCTGAGACGAACTGCTGCATCCAGTCTAGGATGTAAAAGAAAAGTTCAACCTAAGGCAGTTTCTAAAAATTATATCCAAATAATAATAAAAAAACTTAACTTACTCTTAAATCAAGTGGTTCTTCAGATTGATCCATTTCTATCTAGTAAGAAACCCAAAAAGAAAAACACACAGTTATATACAAAGAGCATTCACTTAAATATTAATTCTACATTTCAATTACAATATTTCTGCAATATTTCAAATGAAATCATTTATTAGATTAAATTACCTGAGACAAAAGAATCTGAGGAACTCATTTGATTGAAGTGTTCGTATAATTCATGTTTTTAAAACTTTTCATTTAGATACGTTGAACAAAACGACAAAATACACATGTATATTATAAAAGGAGGATTTTCTAATCTTGCTGAATGTTAACCTGATTCGATTGTTAAAGTCTTAACTACACACAATGAGATATGATTTCAATACATATTGTTTTATAATATGATATCTTATTAGTCTAATATTCTGTAAGTATGAATATAGTCATAAATCTTTAAAATATCAACGATTCCTAAACATTAAAAATCATTTTAAAGAAAACATCCTATAAGGTCATCATTGAAGTCAATCTTCAAATTATGGTAATTATTACTCAAATGTACAGTATGAAACTAATGTCAAAAAGAATATTGCTTAGTACCTAATATTTTAACTAACGAGAAAACACGAGCATTGGAAGATCGTTTCCTCCCAGTATGGGACTCCTCAGAAGTGCGAATCCATGATCCCACTTCACGAGATTCGAACCCAGGATCTATCGGTCACATGCGTGAATGCTTAACTTCTAGACCACTGAGCCAGCATTTAACGGTGTTAATGTCTAACTTCAACTAATCTACAAGATTGAGTGACACATTCGCTATTGTCTTCAGTGAGTTACTGTTTCATAACAGTCCTGAGTTCGAATCCTGCGAGGCGGGATGGTAGATGCGCACTACTGAGGGGTCCCACAATAGGACGAAACGGCCATCCAGTGCTTCCAGGTTTTCCATGATGGTCTAGTTTCAATTGACTCATGATCTCAACTATTAAAATTACTATAATATCCACAAAACCCCTTCTGATATTTCAATTATGTTTTGAATATTACTTTCCTATCATAGATGAAAACTGACAGTTAATCGAATCGACTTCATTCATAGACTGAATAAGATATAATATCGAATCTTGCTTAGGAAGTCTTTAGGTTGATAACAAATACAATAGTTTCTACGTAGGAGTGTATGACTTTATGAAGTAGCAAGTAACATTCATGACGATTAACTTTTTGACAGAGTTTCTTTCTTCTGAAATGTGAACTAAAATCCAATTACTGAAATTGTCGTTTCGCTATCAAGGGTTAGTACATTTATGTGATAAATTTCTAACGGATCATAAGTTTTTCCAAGATTGCAAATGCTACTTGACCATAATTATGAATTAATGAAAAGTACAGGTCCAGGGTTTTTCACTGATTTAATCTGATCAGCTATCACTTAATGTCGTACATTAACTCGAAAAAAAGAGTTGAGATCTTTAGAACACTGCGATACCTACAATAAACGTGTTATTTAAACCATACAGACGATCTGACCACAATTTAAAAAATATAACACTGAAGAGTACCTAATAAAAGTTTTATGAAGAGAACCCTGTCGATATTTAGTTACATAAAATTTGATAGTTAAGGACAAATAAGGGATATCTGTAAGTTTCCCAAGAGTACTAAATTAATTGAGTCGGTAACTATCAAACAATGTAGTCAAAACTTCAATGTAAAAATGAATCAGATTGACGGTTTAAATATTATATCCTAATTTTTTGACAGTTTATTACTTTCAAATCATTTAGTCTTTAAATAATACATTCCACTATTATGGTGACTTAAAGATATAAGATTAAACTGTAGTTATACTTAACTTTTGTAGTTTAATTTATCTTTCGTGTACAGTGCATTGAAGTATAACCCGTTGTGAAATACAAATTAGCCATAGATAAATGTTATAGAAACAATAATACATCTTTTTATTAACTTTACATGTAAATACATAATTCATTCTGTATATCTAGGGGAAAAAGCAATATTTACATAAAAGTTGTTATACTTTTTCCAGATTACTTCAATCATAATTGTATATAACATCAAAATAGAAATTTCACCTACCATATGATAAATAGTATATAAAAATAACCTAAAAGCAGTTTAAAATTATGAGTCATTTTCTTTTGAGTTTTTATTATATACTCTGATGATAAAAAGAAAAAAAGAAATTATTCTCAAATTTGAACATCTCAAAAAACTTACCAAGTTCGTATACCAATGTTTTTCATAATATTATAACGCATGTTCCTAAATATGTCATAATTTTAAATTGTAAGCTCAAAATGACATGATAGAATTCGATGCAATTGAATAATCTAATCAATCTGCCCAATTGCCCTCGAGTCAGTAAATCCTCATATATGATTGGTTATTTATAAAGTAAAGACTTATATGGATGATAACTAGGTTTCGATTTTTTTTTCTTTCAAACTATCAATCCTATCCATATTGGAATGATATTGTGATACACAGGTGTGAGTATTTCATTTAATAACAGCGAAAATTTAAATTAGGTATCAATACTTAATTGATTTATAGTTTGAAGTAAAAAAAAAAGGTAGCTACAATGACATCTATTAGCATCATTTAAACTTTTCTTCAACTCAGAAGTTATACATAAGTATTTATGTACATTGAAGTGGATAATTATTCTCATGTTTGTTACCAAGTAGGATATTTTACATTGTTAATTTCCGTGGTAAAAAGCTTATCGACAATATAGTGAAGAAATCTAGAAAGATTTTCCTCTGAAATAAAAGTGTACTATCTGTTTGTCGACCAATAAGCATTGGGATTAGTAGTAGTTTAAATAAAATGCGCTATTGTTTATCAGTTTATTACATAGTCATCGATCAAATCTATCATCATATCGTACGGCAAGGTATTTTATAGCTACTTTAATTTATCATTGTAATACTTTTAAGTTAACCTTACTAAATAAAACATTTTGTGCGTTCATCGTTCACTGAAGTGGGCTGTCAAGTCATGTGTTCAGAGGGAACAACGAATTGTATATGTGGTAACCAGAACAATACGCAAATTAGAAAACATTTGTGAATACCATCAGTTGATAATTCTTTATTGTCTATGAGCCTTTTGTAACACGTTTTACAGTACAAAGATTTAATATTATTATACTCTCAGATGGTAAATATATATTTACCATACGTATAACAGTCTATTCCAGCTGTGTAAATGACCAATAGTTTACTTCACATTATGAATAAAGGTGTCATAAGTGTCTTTGAATCATTGCTTTTGTACTTTGAGACCACAAAGTAAGTGATGTCGGGGTTAGGTATAGGGTACTAGGTAAAGATAGAAAATAGAATGATGGGGCAGTAGATCTTCATCGGCCGTGGCTGAGACATGTGTTACGTATGCTCAACCACTGCCTACCTTGACGGATGATATTTGGTGTAGGAGAAGACTGGAAGAAAACTGGGAGAGGCCAAACCAAGATGTCATCAATCTATGAAGTCATTGACAATTGAACTTACACCATTTTAGTAGGTGCAGACTACCTGATTGGGGTTTGCGTGACTATTTTAACCAGTGGTTGGAGATTATGAGTGACATGGCTCAGAATTGATCAAAATGGCGTAGGTGTGTACACTCTCGGTCTTCCCTGAAACTATGAGATTTAAATCGATTCATATCTTTCTTTCTACGAACTAACTTTTTCTTCTAGTACTACGTCCTTATATGCAATCTTATTTTATATATTACCACCACTGAATTAACTACTTTTATGAATCCGGTGTTCGTCTTACAGTACTAATGAGGTGTTGTCAACTTGGACGGATGCACATATGTGCCTGGTCCTACGTTTTAGCTGACTAACCGACTGATACATAGAATCTAATATCCTACGAAGATATGATGATTAGTCTGTTTTCAGTATTACAGATTTATGAGGAATTTTCAATTTGGACACAGTAAATAATGATTATTATTTTTTCGTGATCTGAATGAAATGTTGTGGAAGAATATGCTATCATAAGATAATAAAGTCGTAAATACAATTGAGAAATATATATAATACAGCTAGTATTTATGATTTACTCTTGTTCAGTACAATTATTCAAATTCTGTTGTAAAGTTAGATTTTATTATTATCTTAAATAATAGCTTCTATAAACATTCACTAACCTATGAAGTAGTGAAATGTAAATGATCTTCCACATATTGTTGTATACTGGACAGACATCAATCAATTAAATATAAGATTTCTCTGGGTGGTCTGAATCTACACTCGTTTTCAAATAATTTAAGTTAGTCTCCTTTCAAAGTTTTACGATGGTTGTTGGAATGTGTATGGATCCCAAACACAAATGATTGAAAATTTATTCCAGGGTGTTTAACTTAGTAGTAAATGAATTAATTCGAATAAAAAGAAGTCATTTTAATACTTAATTTCCTTGATCTACACAATGCACGTTAGTAGTATTTTGCATTATATGTTCAGTATTTTGATAGATGGCAGTTACAACCCTCCATTGACCCTAAAGTTATATGATCTTTGCGGTATTTTAGCCCATTTCAGCTTGTTTTATCTTCAAAGTATTCGCTTTCCGCCACTATTATTTCAATGAAATATATCTCTTTAAGTTCTGATATCCAGAAAGCTTTTGATGTATCTTCAACTCATAACTCTATCGTTAAAAGTATGAAAGCTAACTACACACCGTTGAGGATGACAAGTACCTATTTTTCAACATTTACTCAGTAGTTTTCGAGAAATCTCTTTTGAGTTCTTTGATGACGGACTGATTTACTACATGTTTCATTGGCATGGTTCTAAAGAAAAAAGATGTTGACTTATGTTTCTGTCTTCTGGTAAGTTATGACAGTCTTTTCAAACAATATGTCAAAATAAATATCGAATTTAAACTTTGTTGGGGACAGAAAATTTCACAGCTCTGGTGTAATGTAATCTTTAAAGCCTTAAAGAAATCTCCAAAATATTACGACGAATGGAGAATACTTAAAGTTATTACATTCAAGGAATTCAGTTTATCTGCTCATGACTTAATAATCAGCTTATAACCATTTTTCTGGGATGGTTATAAGTACTTGAATCCAAACAGGATTGAAAATTGGAGGCAAAACTTAGTGCATGTTATACAAGCACAAACTAATGAACTTATGGTGACGTATATTCAGTGATTTTTGTAAAAACAAAATAAAAACCGCATTTTTTCTCTAATTTACCACACCTTATATGTAACTACAGTTTTATTCAATATCTGTCGTTTTTCTGCATCACTTGTTTAAAAACGATGATAATTGTTTTGATGATTAATATACGATACTACTACCGCGTTGCTTGAAATATAAAACTCTACCTACGCCGTATGTTTTTCTGCTTTATTGGCCACGGTCTTTGATTGAAGGCTATTATAGTGTTATAGCATCCTTTTAGGCCTTCCAACACAACGTTGAACTTTTGGCACGGATTATTATTATATAATACTATTGGACTCTGTCTTTCTCATCACGCCGTTGGTTCAATCACTTGCAGAGGAATCTTCGTCAATCAAGTGGACTCGTTTGTGGTTGGTATCTCACGAGGCAGCTTTCAAGTAGCATTCATTCCATAACAACTGTTATTATCTGTTTGTTTAATATACAATTTGTATCCTAACTGTATTTTGTTACCCTTGGTTTTACTCTCAGACAGACGCCTAGGGTTTTTACGGTTAACTCTCTTGGTATATTATTATTGACCTAGTGTATCGATATATCTTGTATAAGCTCCTTTTGCTGGGAACCACCAACTCCATTTTACCAGTCATGATGTAGATCTTAGAATCACTTGTAAGCTGTAAATAAGCAAAATCCATTTATGAAATATAAAATTGAAAAACACTTTCATACTGAAATAGCTTGTCATATTAACTGTTATTCGCCGCTATCTTTCATTACTAATGTTATTTGACTTGGAAATTGAACAAAATGTCAGCACTAACGTTTGACTTTTAGAAAATCCCAGAAACTACCAGGTTGTCTGATTGTCTTCTCAAGGTTCATGATATTTGAGAGTATGTTTCTTCTAATACCTTTTCAGCTTACTTATTTTATAGCATTTCTCATTTTAGTATGACTACCGTTTTTTATGAATGTAATAATAGTAGTATTGAATCAAGAAAAATACTGAAACTGACGTGTACAGGCTTAGTAAATAATACTCATATTATTATTAGTTTTGAATGGATTACTTTTTTTGGTAAAATATTAACATATTTATTTTAAGATAGTTGACAGTACGGTTTAGCTTGTTTATGAAAGACTGGCTACCAAGCCATTACAAATAAACTAACAAAATTTCTTTCGTACAAATTGCTCTATTAGTTTGATTTAAATCATGAGCCGACTAAAGTTAGACTACTATTTAAAACCTGGAGACACTGGATGACCATTTCGTCTTAGTATGGGTCTCATCAGCAGTGCACATTCACGACCCCACACGTGGGACTCGAATCCCTGGTCTTCAGTCTTGCACGAACGCCTAATCTCCGGACCACTTAGCCGCGATCCAACGTTGTCAATGTTTAACTTCAATCAATCCGCGATATTGCGCGACCATCGTTCATTGTCTCTAGTGAGTAGATGCTTCACACACGAAGCAGTTGAATTCCATTCGTCACGGCTTCCAGGTTCTTAATGGTGGACTTGGACTGGTTTGTGATTTAATAAAATTCAACAATCTCCACAACCCCTTACTGCTCGATTAGTGTTTAAAATGGTTTCGTTTATTGTTGATGATAGTCGAGTGTACAGATTACTATTGAGTCGCTTCGTTCTCGCTGTAAAAATTAGTCATCTCAGGTGTGAGAGAAATCCATTTTTTGACTATAAATGGATCTTACACGTTATGTACGCGAATTGTGTTTATCGAACAGTTTTTTTTGTGTATTATGTAATGTGGAAGTTAATAGGATTAGAAGCACATGATGAGAATCAATGTCGAAATATATGAAAATTTAAACATAAAAAATAGAATTAAGTATAAAAAGGTGAGTCAGAAGGATGGACAGCTAAGAATGACATTAAAATTGACATTTAAAGAACAAAGAATGAATGCATTATAATGATCGATTGATTTTGCATTATATTACCCATCTCGGGTTTTCTATCAGGAGTATTAAAATTAACAATGTGATTGGTTTAAAAGCACATATTTATGTGTGCTACCTACAACATATGTGAGAATTGATTTGATTCACATGAGTTTAATGTAATTGTGAAATATGAATGAATGGTAAAAATGAAACGAATGTCATATTATGAGTTCTTATTGTAGGTTGTTTTCGAATGTTATAGATTTTCAATTTAAGGTTACATTGCGATAGTATTCAACTGAAGTATGAGTGTAGGACTATTATATATATATATATATATATATATATATAATAGATATTAGTCACTCATTATATATATGTTTTACATGTTCAAACGAAGCAACACTGAACATTGATGAATAACCAAAGAATATAATTTTGAATGCTAAAAATGTATCTGATAAGGTTAAACGGGTTGAAAAGACAAAAATAAACAGTACATTTAAAATAAATAAATAATTTGAAACTATCCTAAGTCAGCAGTTCACTTGATGGATAACTTTAAGGTTGTAGAGAGTAACTTTGTTATTACTGAGGTGTAGTGAAGTGACACAGTAAAGGTTTAGAAGTCAAACACCATAAAACAAAGTTAATTTTAATGAAAATCTACGAAACAAGGAAAGGATTACCAGAATCTACTAAAGACATACTATTGATCCAAACGCTATAAAAGTAATATATTAACAATTTCCTATTTGATATTTTCTGTTAAGCAATGTACTGACTGCATGACACTGATCTTAAATTATTCAAAAAACACGGTAAGGATTGGTCAGATGATTCAGTTTTGCTGCTGCTCAGATAATTCTTGATGAGTTGGAACAAATATCCCTTATGTCAAAATACAATCGGAAATACTAAGCTAAAGTATAATATCAATTACTCACAGAGATTGAGTAATATATGTTTGTGGAAAGTGTTATCGTAATCAAGCTTAAAACTGAACCTGTTAGAAAACAAGAGCTGGAATGCAGGTTGATGCAGCGATCAATTACCGTTAACATTTTAAGGTCATAGGCTTCGATTAGGTGGTGAAGAAGATTTGTAGCTCAGGTGGATGATTTTGGTGGAGTTTTGTTCTCTGAGCTGGATGGGTTGGTCGTGGAGCTTTCATCGTTCTTCTGAACGACATCATCAGCACAAACTTCAGACTTCTATCCAGCTTCGATTACGTGCTACAGATAGTGTTATTTAACACAAGATAGCGAACATGTGCTGTTGATGTGCGCCAACTTACATGATACTTGGGTTCAAGGCTTCTAATATGTGCTTCAAGTAATTTCTGTGATCAAAAAGATTCTTAAAAAGAGCGTTAGTACGAAATATCTTACCATTCAATCTTCGACATTGTAGTTTCTGATTTTTTCCCTCTTTATTCGTACAGAATACATTTTGTCAAAATTAGTGTGTTTAGCATGTGCAGATGTAAGTTCGAAAAGCGTAAATATATAAATTCTGGGATTCATCAATAAAGCGTACGTTTTTCTTATTTATTTATGGTATCAAAGACAATATTTTTGTGCTGGACTAAATTCTAAAACCGATTTTGGCCTGTACCACTGATTTATTTTACTTAACATTACATGTGATCGTAATAAAAATCATTTGATACATATAATTGATATTCTTAAAGATTGGTATCCTGAAGTTGTAATATGTAACGCAACCTGTGGATATAACGGACGTTTTAGTGATAATGGCTGTTTAATAGAGGATTTAAATAATGTAATACATTTGTAGGAGTTAATTCGTTGTATTAGTCGTTTAACTCTTTCCATTAATCTTTGGGATTGCAATTGATCAAGCTCTTTTAGTCAATACATACCCTCAATATTACCATAAAGTCATAAGCATTTTTTCAGCAGTTTTATGGTGGCGAAAGGTTTTGGATCTCAATCCCTAACTACGGAATGTGAGAACATCCTTCTGTAGACTCTTAAGTAGGATGGAACACGCGTCCTGAACCCCACTGCTAGCCGTCATCCAACTCTGCTTAAAAGATATTCGTAAGAGTCGTTTAGATCATCTTGTTGTTATTATGACTATTACTATTATATATATATATATATATATATATATATATATATATATATATATATATATATATATATATAATAGTAATAATAACAACAACAAGATGATCTAAATGACTTTTACGAATATCTTTTAAGCAGAGTTGGATGACGGCTAGCAGTGGGGTAATACTGCTTCAACGCATTATTGTCTGCTGAAAACATTTATTTAATTAATTATAATCGTAAGAAGTAACTGGAACGAAATGAAAATGAAATATAACAGAAATATATAAATTATAATTAATTTTATGATTTTTTGTAAATGAAATCACAGAAATCTTCAAAAGAAAACATCTTTTGTAATAAACATATCATCATGATATTCATCAAAATCATATTTTCATACATGGAAACACTCAACCAAACTTGATCATTTTATTGAAAAATATTCACCCTTAAATACTTATTTTAATTAGTTTGTTCACCAGTAAAATCATCTTCATAAGTTTCATCATCAATTGTTGTCGCTTCACTGTCATCTGAGTGAACAAGTTCCACTTGACGTAACATCGAAATTTTCGAACTATCATTTTCATGTGTAGAATGATCTAAAATGAATTGATTAATAATAAATCAATGGAAAGAAAGAAAAAAAACGATGATTGAAGAATATTGTGTGAATTGATTCATTTTATTTATTCACATAAGTAATATAGGTTTGGTAGTCAAAAGTAGAGAGACAATTAGGTAAGCAATATCATGATACTTTGAAAAAACTTTTAATCAAATTCTTAATTGAGTCTGTTAACAGTTCCTCTTTTTCAAAAAAAGGATACTGAATTTGTTTTATACAAAGAATCCTATTTCGAATTTTAATCCCTAATAAAAATCTTTTAGATATTTGTGATTGAATGTATCCAGACAGAATCTGTTTGGAAATATTCATAAAAACATTTTCCTATTGTATTTATAGCATCCAGCCTGTGTAGGTTTGCACAAAAGCCTTCAAGAACGTACACTAAGGTTCATTGAAGCCTTGGATATACGGGAACTGAAACCCTCTTCATGTGATCAAGAAAAATTTGTTCATACCCTTAGCCTACCCTGGTAATACTGAGTTATTATCCGTGGTGGCTATCACATTGTTTTTGTGTACTTTATTTTTCTTCGTTACGACTTACCTTTAACCTGTCTAGTTGACCTTTTAATTTTCATGTACAAATGTCTTAAGAAGTATATGTGTGATCAAAATTTTCGAAATGTATTGCCAAATATATCACATCATTTTGATAAGCTTCGTCTTCTCATTGCATTATCGAAATATCTTTTCAGTAAATTTATCAGTTCATGTTGAGTAACTCCAACCAATCCAAGATATTGCGCGACCGTCCTCCTCCGTTATAAAGTTAGACATTGGCACCGTTAAGCGTCGGCTGAGTGATTTAGAGGTTAGGCGTTAGCGCGCGATACTAAATGACCTGGGCTCGAGTCTCACGTGCGGAACCATGGATGCGCACTGCTAGAAAGTCCCATACTAAGGCGAAATGGCCATCTAGTGCTTCCAGATTTTCAGTGATGGTCTATCATTGATCAGTTCATGATATCAATTAAAAACGCAACAATCTTCACAATCCTGTACTGAAAATGCAGTTGTTTTGTGAACTCTTTTTATAGTTGATAATTTTAATTTTTGATTATTTCTCTGAAGATAGAACCAGATGATCGGAAGGGAACGTTAGATTAATTTTTAATCTTAGTCACTAAGATTTTTACAAATATAGCTTCCTTTAAATATATTACCTATAGCAGGTTTCTATGGGAGTTATTGTGATTTACCACCACCACCACCAATGTTATTATTATTATTAGCATTATGATGAGGAACTGTGCAAAGTATAAAGTAATTTGTCTATGAAGTAAAATCAATGATTAAGATCATGAGTCAGCTGAAGCTAGACCACGATGGAAAACCTGAAAGCACTGGACAGTCGTTTCGGCCTATTGTGGGACTCCTCAGCAGTGCACATCCACGACCTCGCCCCCTGCGAGATTCGAACCCAGAACCTAGTGGCTTCGCGCGTGAGCACTTAACTACTAGACCACTGAGCCGGCATCCAATGGTGTTAATGTCTAACTTCAACTGATCCACGAAATTGAGCGACACATCCACCATTGTATTTAGTGAGTTACTATCTCACAACAGATCTGGTTGTACTCCACTGGTCACTACTTCTCACTAGAACATCAGGATAAACCTCGTCAAGCCAGTCACTAGTGAGCATGTTTTGATTAATATCAGATGGGTTTTGTGAATATTATAGTAATTTCAATGATTAAGATCATGATCCGCACTGCTGAGGAGTCCCACAATACGACGAAACGGCCGACCAGTGCTTCCAGGTTTTCCATGGTGGTCTAGTTTCAACTGACTCATGATCTTTTTTTCTAAATTTCGTTAGAACAATCAACTTCATCTTCTTATTGTTCTATTGAGAAGATTAAAATTCAGTAAATATTCCACTTAAAACGTACTTGATTTATTTGAATGATCTTGTTTTATTGATTGTCTTAATTTATCATTTATTGATGTAGATGATTCAATTTTCAATTTATTAATAGGTGAATTTACTAAATTCATATTAGATTTACAATGTTTAACATTTTTTAATTGATTTAAATTCGATTGTGGTAATGGACTACCAGAAAGATTGGCTAACCATTCAAGACTAGGTGAATGAATAATAGTATTATTATTATTACTGTTATCATTATTAGAATATTGACGAATTTGTTTTAATTGATTTAATAGTTTATTCATTTCATCATGTTCATAATGTGACAGTTGATTTCTTTTAATTTGATTCGAATTTTTTAATGCTAATAAATGAAGTAATGGATTGTTAAGTGGATTCATTTGTTTATCATTTGAATATTGTTGTTTAGTAGTTAATACATTTGGTAATTGTCCTGGACTAATTTCATCTTGTTTTAATTGTTTAGTATTATCGGATGAAGAACTGTTTGAAGAATTTGAAGTACTTTTAGATAAACTAAATGTTTGAGTTAAAGAATTCTGTTGAAAGTAAAATAAAAAAAAGAAACAATTGTAATAAGTTTTAATGAATTATTAAGTTATTGTTATAATGATTTATTTTTAATAGTACAAACACATCTTGATACAAAGAGATTGTGGAAAAAAAATAATAATGTGCAGAAAAATGATCACGGAAAGGTTGTACAATCCATGAACACATCAGTATTAAAATAGTATTTGATGAAAGATATAGATTAGTTAAAAAATGAATTTAGGAAAGATTTCTGTCAGTTTAGGTAGCTAATTTCTATTATATGAGGAATATAAATGAGAAATACAACAGGATTGCCACTGATATCTATTCTAGCACAAGTCTGATGTTAGCTAAAGCCAGTGATCCTAACCAAGGAATTGTGATAGACCGATAGATACCAGTTCAAGACAACTAGCTGTTCTTTATATTATGGCTTTATTTCGTTAACTGGTCAACTCTCTGTTTTTTACACTCGGTCCTAGTTGTGATTATATTGATTCAGTTTTAAACATAACGAAATTCTAAAATAAAAAGTTTTGACTAGCGAACTTCTCAGCATAATATTTAACCTCCGAATACAGATTGGCGATGTGTTAAACGTGAAACATCAATGGTTTACAAATGCGGATTAAATATGTATGCCGAACGGTTTATGAGTCGGTAAACTTTTATGAAAGAAAACTTGTTGTTTTAAATAAAATAACATGCTATCAGGTTGGGAGATTATGTCAACAGATAGCCTGTTATAGACCAATGGAAGATACAATGTGATGTATGTTTTGATGTTAGTTGTTTGAAGAGAGTGAAATGGAAACGCTGGACTCAGGTTTCGTGATAGGTGGTATTAATATGTAAGGAGTGCTTGAAATCATTCGAAAGACGGTAATCTCTGTGGGATTCGAACTCATGTCACAGCTTCACATTCTGAGATGCTACTACTGGGTTTTGACCCATCTTCTCCATGTTTGAGATATATTGAGATTTATTGATCATTGAATAGTGACTGGTGATCATTCGAACTCGCATATAATCCGATAATGAGCCTCAGTTTCCTCAAGGTCATAGGTACTTCTGACGCGTGCCAACCAGCGCGAAACCTAGGTCTAGGGTATCTTGGAGGCTGCCTTTAACCACCTAACACTTGGTTAACTCAACAAATCACGGCTTTCCATTGGAACGTTGTGAAATTTATTTCATAATCAGTCATTTGTAAGCCTTCTTGATTTCAATATAATATATCATAACATATCAAATCAAGCTGTAACTCAGATGAAGCATCTATAAATCACGAATATAAATTAAATTAAATGTATTTCATCTTTGTATTTAGCTTAATATCACTGAAGTTATTATCATATCTGTAGGATTTAGTAATACAAATCACTTTTTGAGTATTTATTAATATAGAATGACTTACATTTCTTCTCGTTGTCGAACTTCGAATAGGTTCCATTTTAGACATAATTAATTTCAATTTATTATATGACACTGGATATGGTGCTTCACCTTCGGAACGATCTAATAACCACATTCCATCACTGAATGTATCTGGTGCAGTGAGACTGAATTGTTCAGTAAATGATGAGCTTTTTGTATCAATTAAAGCAGTTGAATTAGAATTCAGTGATTGTGAATTAAATTCAGCTGATTTCTCAGAAACATTTTTCTCAGATGGATATTTTTGTGGACTTGATGGGAATGGTGAAATCATAACGGATTTTTGTCTATTTATTAAAATAAACCGGATATATTTAATCAGTGCAAAGTATCTCAACAAGTGAATAAATATTCTATTGGTCATGTCAGTATAAGCTACTGAGTGTACCATAAGTAATCTTAATAAAAAAATAAAACATTTAGTCATTCGAGGTACCAAGAAACGGATCCGACTAAACGAGATAACAAACATTTAAGGAATGAAAAGAAACTGTATAAATGAGAACAGAGTTGAATGTAACTTCTTTTATGACAAATCCACGTTAATGTGCATATGCAAGTGATAAAATATAACTTCATCACCATTCTAATCCGCTGCTATTGTTTGTTTTTGAAAATTTCTGTGATGGTACTGACTAATTAGATGTAATTTTTATGCTGAAATGACACGTTCTCAGATCTTAGTAATATCTTCGTCGTATTGTTGACTAATTACTATGTGCCTTTCGCGATGGAGAGATTTAGTTGTGTACCTGATATTGTACGTGAGGCATTTTATATCGAGTTTATTTGCATTAATTCACAGTGATTTTTACATCAAAATGCTATGAATGAAAAACATAAACAGAGAGCACGGGGTACGAATGTATGTTTTCAAAATGATAATGAAGTGCCATTTGCAAATTTAAACAGTCTACCTTCTTGTTGAATTCCGTATTAAATTTTTAAGAAAGAACGACATAAAGTAAAGAAATAATTATCTATACATCGAATTCGTTTGTGATATTATAATTGGCATACATGTATTATGGCATCTGATCAATATTTAGTTCACCACAGATCCATGACTTGACTTACAAGATTTTAATTAGACTTTTTAAATTTGGATATGCAAAACAACTTAACCATACATTATCACAGTCAGAGATGTAATACTTTCCGAATATCGAAAACAAAGAGAAAAGATTTTCTTGAAAACCAACCATTCTCGAGACATTGAGCTGAATGACTAATAAATAAGACAGTGGGAAATTTGTAAAAATTATGCATTTCAATTATATATGGCGACGAAACCAAGTCTCATATTATACATTTTTCGGGATTATACAGCCAATTTACATAACTGATTTGAAATTTGACTACTCTTACTGGTAAGAATGAACACACTATCACTACAGAGACAAGTTTAAATGATGAGCGGGTAATTTTAATCTCTCATCTTTATGGGTGCATACGTTATGGTATGATACTTACTTACTTACTTACGCCTGTTACTCCTCGTGAAGGAGCATAAGCCGCTCACCAGCATTCTCCATCCAACCCTGTCCTGGACAATCCTTTCTAGCTCCGTCCAGTTGTAATTCATCGTTTTCATATCTGCTTCTATTATCCGACGCAATGTGTTCTTTGGCCTTCCTCTTTTTCGCTTCCCTGCAGGATTCCAAGTTAGGGCTTGCCTCGTGATGCAGTTTGACGATTTGCGCAATGTATGTCCTATCCATTTCCATCGTCTTTTCCTAATTTCTTCTTCAGCTGGAAGTTGGTTTGTTCTCTCCCACAGAAGGATATTGCTGATGGTATCCGGCCAATGGGTGTTGAGTATCTTGCGTAGACAGTTATTTATAAATACTTGTACTTTCTTGATTGTGGTTGTTGTAGTTCTCCAAGTTTCAGCTCCATACAGTAGAACTGCCTTGACGTTCGTATTGAAGATTCTTACTTTGATATTGGTTGAAAGTTGTTTTGAGTTCCATATGTTTTTCAATTGTAGGAAAGCGGCCCTTGCTTTGCCGATCCTCGCCTTTACGTCTGCGTCGGATCCTCCTTGTTCATCGATGATGCTTCCCAGGTATGTGAAGGACTCTACATCTTCCAGAGTTTCGCCATCAAGTGTGATTGGATTGCTGTTCTCCGCTTTGAATTTGAGGACCTTAGTTTTCCCTTTGTGTATGCTGAGGCCTACTAATGCAGAGACTGCTGCTACACTAGCTGTCTTTTTCTGGATCTGTTCATGTGTATGCGATAGGAGGGCTAGGTCATCTGCGAAGTCCAAATCGTCTAATTGATTCTGAGCTGTCCATTGTATTCCGTGTTTTCCTTTAGTTGTTGAGGTCTTCATAATCCAGTCGACCACCAGAAGAAAGAGGAAGGGAGAGAGTAAACAGCCTTGTCTGACTCCGGTCCTTACTTGAAATGCATCTGTCAGCTGTCCTCCATGCACTACTTTGCACTGTAGTCCGTCGTATGAGTTCCGGATAATATTGACAATCTTCTCAGGAACTCCGTAGTGTCGAGGAAGTTTCCATAATGTCTTCCTATCTACACTGTCGAATGCCTTTTCATAATCAATGAAGTTGATGTATAGTGATGAGTTCCACTCAACTGATTGTTCGACGATGATCCGTAGTGTTGCAATTTGGTCTGTGCACGACCGATCCTTACGGAATCCAGCTTGTTGATCTCGAAGTTGGGCGTCTACTGTATCCTTCATCCGGTTCAGCAACAATCTGTTGAAGACTTTCCCTGGTATTGACAGTAGTGTTATGCCTCTGTAGTTTTCACATTTGCTCAGATCTCCTTTCTTTGGGATCTTGACGAGGTGTCCTTCTTTCCAGTCCATCGGCACTTGTTCCTCCTCCCAAATCTTCTTGAATAGAAGGTAAAGCATGCTTGTGGTTGCTTCGATGTCTGATTTCAGTGCTTCAGCTGGTATGTTGTCGGGTCTTGCTGCTTTCCCGTTCTTGATTTGTCTGACGGCCATTCTAATTTCTTCCGTAGTTGGTGGATTGACATCTATAGGAAGATCTATGTGTGCTGATTCGATGTCCGGTGGATTCATTGAAGCCGGCCTATTCAGGAGTTCCTCGAAGTATTCTACCCATCTGTTACGCTGTTGTTGAATTTCGGTGATTGGCTTGCCTTCTTTGTCTTTGACCGGCCTCTCTGGTTTACTGTATTTCCCTGATAGTTTCTTCGTTGTATCGTAAAGCTATTTTATATTTCCTTCTCTAGCAGCTTTTTCTGCCGTCGTTGATAGTTCTTCCACGTATTTCTTCTTGTCGGCTCTAATGCTCCTCTTCACTTGTTTGTTTGCTTCTATGTATTCAGCTTGTGCTTGGACTTTCTCTGCTAGTGTTCGGCTGTTGTTTATTGCTGCCTTCTTGTTCTTCCTTTCTTTGATCTTGTCCAGTGTTTCTGTAGAGATCCACTCCACTTCTTTAGACCGAGAACCTCTTGACACGTTGAAGTTAATGCTTCCTTGATGCCTTTCCAGTTGTCCTCCATAGTAGTTTCTTCTTCTTTCAGTAGATCTTGTAAGGCTTGGAACCTGTTGTTGAGAGCTATCTTGAATTCATTGAGTTTGACAGTATCTCGAAGGAAGGCTGTATTGAACCTTTGTATTGCTGTTTGTCCACTTGTCCAGTTTTTTTTTAGCTTCAGTTTCAAATTGGCTACAACTAGGTGGTGATCTGAAGCTACGTCAGCACCTCTCCTCGTTCTCACATCTTCCATTGTCCTTCGGAATTTTTTGTTGATGCAAATATGATCTATTTGGTTCTCTGTAGTGTGGTCCGGTGAGATCCATGTAGCCTTGTGTATACGCTTGTGTGGAAATATTGTGCCTCCTATGACCAATTTGTTGAATGCACATAGATTTGCAAATCTTTCTCCATTTTCGTTTCTTTCTCCCAGTCCATGTCGTCCCATAATATCTTCATATCCAGTGTTGTCTATTCCGACTTTGGCATTTAGATCTCCCATCAGAATAGTTAGGTCCTTTCTTGCGCATTTCTCAATGATTGACTGCAGCCGCTCGTAGAACTGATCTTTAATTTCGTCGTTGCTATCATTGGTGGGTGCATAACATTGGATAATATTCATTAAGATCCCCTCCTTCTTTGTTTTGAATGATGCTTTGATGATTCTGGATCCGTGAGATTCCCATCCTACAAGTGCATTTCGTGCTACTTTGGACAGCATAAGAGCGACTCCCTGAGTGTGTGGAGCATTTTCATCTTCGTGACCGGAGTATAGCAGCATCTCTCCCGTAGCTAGCCTTTTCTGTCCAGCTTGGGTCCAGTGGGTTTCGCTGATTCCCAGTACTGCTAAGTTGTATCTCCTCATTTCCATTGATATTTGACTGGTCTGCCCGGTTTCCCACATTGTTCGAACGTTCCATGTACCTATAAAAATTTTTGCTCTGGTTGTTAGAAGGGGCATCGGCCTCGTGGCTTCCGAAGGAACTCGGCTTTCACCATGAAGCGTCATAATTCTTCTAAATGAAGACCTTCTAACTCCCAGGGCAGAGATAAAATGGTTTGGATTATTTTTTCTGGTAAGCGTTTTATTAGCGAGTTAGTTTTCTACGGGATGGGGACGCTAACCCCATGCCCAACCCTCCTCCTTTACCCGGGCTTGGGACCGGCAGCAACCCTATAAGAGCTACAGGCGGAGTTGTTATGGTATGATAGTTGTGTGTATTAGATCAGGTGTGTGAAGGCCATTCATAGAAGAAGATAGGATGTCTGAATGTTCTGCTGACACTGAATCTTAACTAAGCTGCAATTAAATACATAAAGCTGATCACACCTAAGAGAAGAAATGAAGACAATATAAATTATTGACTTACTTTATAGGACTTGAAGATTGAGAACGTAATTTGGATCGAAGACTGAAATTATCTGCAAATGATGGTTCAGGTGTAGAAATATGATGGGGATTAGTTGGTGGTGATCGTGAATTTCTAAAAATACTTTCTTCATCCGGATTGTATGGTTGCCAATTTGATTTTGGTTCTGGTGTCTGATCATCAAAAGAACGAATAAAAAACAAACAGAGTTCAATATTATTTATACGACAAGTACAAAATATAGACCAACATACAATACGAAAATTTATCCTTCTGTGAAAAGACAACGTGAATATATATATATATATATATATGATTGTTACTTACTTTACTCTTTGTGTGAACAAGATCATCTGGATAAGGTAATTCACTCCTATTTATACTATCTATCGGAGTAGGAATATCCAGTAGATCTAAATGACTAGTCCGGTCAGGTGATGAAGACGGTGTTTTAAGTTGTTGCTGTTCTGTTCGTAGTAGTTGATTAGTTGGATTAGGGCTAACTGATGCTGGAGAAAGCATCGATCCAATACGTTCTAATAGTGCAGTTTCAACCAAATGTTGTAAATTTTCTTTGGATGAAGTGTCTAGGTTTGAGAAAACAAAACAAAAGTTCCACGTAATTCAATAAATTTTCGTTGTTTATTTGAAATCATGAACCGACCCAAGTTAGGTCACAGCTGAAGACCTGGATGCACTGGGCGGCCGCTTCGTTCTAGTGCGGGACTTCTTAGGAATGTGGGTCAACGACTATGCAGCCGAGAGTCGAACTCAAAACCTTCAGAGAACGCTTACCCTTTGAACTACATAGCCAGCAATCGATGATGTTGGTGTTTAATTTCAATCAATCCACGCCATTGTGTGACCATTTTTCTGTGTGTGGGGCTGTGATTGAGCATTGCTGAGGAGCCCCTACAGTGATCTTACATAAGTTAGTCCATGGTCTCAATGAAAGTCAACCGTTTTTAAAACCCCTTAATGAAACTTTTTTAATATTAGGAAAAAACAATGACTACATTTATCACCAAATTAACTGATGGAAGACCTATTGTTCAGTAATTTTCATCTAGATTTCATTTACAAAAATTCAGTGAGCAGAATAATGTAGTAGGTTTAGGCTTATTAATATTTCTTGAAGATAAAAAAATTGAAACTTAAACACTCAGAGCATAGTTTGGATCTGCTACTTCATAGCGAACGACTTGATGTTTAAACTATTGAATCATTACTTTACAATACTCGACTGTTGCAAGAAAATATCAAATACACCGCTGCATCGGCAATGGTTTTCTATTACACATCGACCCAATCAGAAAAATTACTAAGATCTATTTCGTCTTTATTCAGAACATTTCAACATTGGATGAACAAAAATTGAACTCAGAATACTGAAGACCTGTGATAAGAATGATTTCAATTGGCTACCTAATAAGAATCACATGCTCTGCATTTTAAAAATTTAGCCCAATTGGAATATAGTAAGAAAACCATCCAATAAGTTTTCGGTAAAAACCAGTCCTTAGCGAGATTTCTTATCGAATGTTTGAAATCCTCGATAATAATCTATCAATATCTTACCATGACTTTGCGATTGATTTTTAGCTAACTGATCAGAGATCTGTAAGACAAGACGTGATAAAATATTATCTTCCAACTCCGTACGAGATAAGGCATTGAAATTATTTGAAGGTTGTTCAGTTGATTGATTTGACTGAAAATGAAATCCAGTGCCTTTTTCATGAAGTAAACCAGATGTATCAGTAGAAATTAGCTAAGAAGAAAGATAAAGGAAAACAATGAACTGAAACAGGTTGTTTAAATAAAAATAGTTCCAGATTTACTTATAAACTTTTCTGAAAAAGATATTAGTCAAGTTTTTTTCAAATATCAGTTGATTGGTTAATTCAAAATGTTAAACATGTTTTTCGAACTGACCACAGTTCTCTTTAGTCAGCTTATTTGTACATCCTACTTATTGACATTCAATAGTTCATGTCATTACCAATCATATTTGATTTTAGGACTCATTACAATTAGCATGTATATCAGAAGCTTAAGTTCACACCATATATGTTATTGAGCAGAGTTTTTGAACATAAAGTATTTGATTTGTTCTTGTTAATTGATAGTACCTGTTTGATGCGGCTATGTGATATCCCCTAAGTTATAGTATGCATTAAATTTAATTCTTATCAAATCATTTGAAAGGGGGATTTTGTTACTGTTCGCATCTGTGATGCTTTATTAAGGCATTTGCAAACAATACTGTTTACCTCGCTATTACAAAGAATGACAAGCAGAATGAAGTAATATTTCTTTGCTTTATTCATCCTTTTATTCTTTATATTTCTTTTTATTAATAGTTATGTATTCTAGGAAGAAATTCGTCTTAGCACTTGATGAGTCATACACAACTGAAACATTCAACTAGAATACTTGGACGGATTCTATACAGTATAGTTTAACATTGGGACTGATCTGACATACTATACGCTTAAAAACAATATTGGTAATTTTTATCTATGATAATTGAAATTTAAAGCTGACCAAACGGTTATCGTGTGATTCAGTAGTTCAACACATTCACAAAGTACTTTTCAAATAGAAAACCATAAAAATAGTCATTTACTTCCAATACACTTTCTATATTACTAACTTTGTCTATTCCTTCTAAGTTATTTCATACAGTTGTTCTCTTGATGTCCATGTTGAGTCATATATATATATATATATATATATATATATATATATATATATATAATCAAATATAAATTGTCTAAGGATATGCATTTTAGTCCAAACATGTATGAGATTAGATCTGAGATCCATAAGCTTCATATAGAATAGAATTAAACCGATTTGAAACTTTCTTAAAATTTCAATCAATTATATCAGGATGGGGATTTGTGGATGTTGTAGTATGTTAACCGTTGAATTCACGAGTTAATCTACGCTAGATCACCACTAAAGACCTGAAAGTGCTGGATGGCCTAGTGTGGGACTCCTCAGCAGTGCACATACACGATCCTACACATTCGAACCCAGGACTTTCGGTTCCAAACGTGAGCGTGCAACCCTTCATCCATTGTCTGAGGTGGCAGTATAGCTTAGATCAATTAGTGAATTCAACTATTATAATCAATTATACTACAGGATGCCTTTAATATCGTTTGAAAGAGATCTATCAAGCTTCAAAATAACAGAAAACAATTGTTCATTTTACTTAATTAAAATACACGTACTACAATGAATAGTAAAATAGAAATTTTCATAGTTGATATAAATTGAAAAATAAAATCAATTAATAATAAGATAACTAATAATATTATATGTGGACACTAATGAAAATAAAATTAGTACACAATTGAATTATTAATTACCTTATCTTCTTTATTATATTTTTTACTAGATCCTATTGCAAGTGAATATTGATACATACCTAATGGAATTATACCTGAATTCGGTTTTGTGAAAACTTTAGCTTGCATATTAATATATTTATTTGATTGTATTTGTTGTGGTTCTGTAGTTGATTCAAATGTTTCATCATTTTGATGATCACTAAATCGTACAACTTTTGAATTAGATCTTTGCATTCGTCTTTGTGAAGAAGAAACTATTTTTTTAAAGAAAATTAAAATTATAAAACAAAGAAAAAGTAGTATTAGTTTTTAATTGAGTACACATTGTTTACTAGATAGAAAATGAATATGATCATTTGTAACTGTAATAGTTTTATAGATATAACATATGCAGATGACAGTTCACTTGGTATTATTTACTTGAATCTTCCGATTGATGTTTAAGACTGCCAACTGATCAGTCTGTTATTAGCATATGTACATACTATGCATATTGCCTCGATATAGCCTTAATTCACAAGCATTCTAAGCAAAGATAGATAGTTGCTAGCAGTGGAATCCAGGACGTGCGTTTCATCCTATTTAGGACTCATCAGCTGGATGTACTTGCATCTCAGAGTTGATGTTCACTCTGACAGTATTTAATTAACTGAGAAATACAATTTTAAAAAATTGAAAATGTTTACCATATTATTTAAATCTACTGAATCGTAGACTCGTATTTCATAGTTGAACCTGAGAGTTGTTTATTTAAAAAATTAGTACTGAAGTAGTTTAGCATTAAAATAAATATCTTATATATTGGTCATGAACAGAGTGTTTGCTAAAGATAATATAGTTAAATAGTATAAGTTATTTAGTTGAAAAGATCACTAATTGTTTTAAGACAGTACAGTAAAAAGTTAACTGGTTTTGCTTATTTTAGGAATAACTAAAGATTAGTTCTACCAGAGGAAAATAATAATTACAGAAAACATTTGAAATGATAAAAAAATTATTAAAGATGTATTTGCTTTATTGTTATAACGGGAGTCATTCCAGATTACATGATCACAGAAAGATTAATCCAACTGTCAAATCAAGTGCAACATTGGTGCATATTAGGTAAAGAACCAGTTATCGATAGTCACAAGTATATTAACATAAATACAGAATGGGGAGAAGTTATTACGACATAAACTTAGTTCATTATACATGACACACAAGGTTACCTCTATATACATTCACTAGTTGTCTGAATACACGAATTAGTCATATGTTATTTAATCATTTCGCTTAGTTTGGTTAACTAACTACGATTTTCGTTATAGCCCTGAAAACCAATAAAAGCAAACACTTCAAAGAACGAAACGGTTTATTCAACGACTTCTATTTAAACAGTTGTAAAGTTGTGTTTACATAAATCGGCAGTCGTAGTGACTTTTATTTGTTAGATAGTGAACCCATAACTATACTGTTATCATGTAGAATCATTTTATCGCTTTACATATCATCTGAATGATCAAGCCCAATCTATTGAAACTTGTTTGCTTACATCTCATTTGCATTATGAATGAATAATATGAACCAAATCATTGTTTTTGTTCTATGCTATGCTTCTGTCCTTCTTTATGTTAAGATTACATAAACTCTTATTCTATTCGATTCAATAGAGTCCAACATTTTTAAAGTAAATCTTTTGTAAATTTGGATCATTTTAACATTATTCTTTCAGCATTACTCGAAATTTAGCTAACCATCATATTGTAGCGAACGAGCAATTAGGTGGGGACAAACTATTTATTATTTAGTGCGAAATTACATACACCATAATGCCGTTTTGTTAAAGAAATAAATATCTAGCTTTGATCAACTCATAATCGCGCGCAGCCCATCATCCACTGCTTGGGGTGGATAACTATCTCACCCCGGCACAGATTGAACTCTACTGGTCACAACTTCTCACCAGAACTTCAGGAGTAACATCTTGAAGGAGGTCACTAGCGAACACATGACTATTATTAGCATGGGTGATTTGCAGTACATTCAATGTTGAGATCACAGACTGATCTTGGCTATACCACAATTGAAAACCTAGACAATTATCCACAGCAGGCAGTGAATGAAGAGTTGGGCAAAATAACTAATTTAAGTCAAAAACCAACACCGTTTGATGCCGGATTAGTGGTTTAGAGGTTACGTATCAGGACTCGAGACAGAAGGTCTTGAGTTAGATTCTTTTGTGTGGGATCATGAATGAGAACTAATGAGGAGTTTCATATTAAGACGTAGCAGTCATCCAGTGCTTTCAGGTCTTCAATAGTGGTCTAACTAAAGTCAGTTCGTGACTTCGACTGTGAAAATAGTAAAATCTTCACAAATCCACCATAGCAAAGAAATAACTGTTAACACTTAGTTAAGTGGTATGACACAGCATAATATAAATTACTGGTGATAAGTGAGTACAATTGACCAAAATATATGATATTAAAATTTTCTAGATATATATACTTGATATTTAAGTAAGTTTGTAAGTTAATTATAACTGTGGACAAAATTGAGTGTCTGAACCTACTCCCAGTTAGATTTTCATCACTTAACCGTAGGACAGCTGTCCGTGGCCTAACGGGATCATTAACTGAACGTGGATATAATGGTCGTTTAGCTCTTCGTCTATTTAAACGCCATGGAGAAGTAAGCGTTACTGGTGACGGAGAACGATCTGTAGAGCATAATTTAGGTTGATGAAATAAATCAATCACGTTTCTTGACCTCGTTGGGGAACTACAAGAACTTGATGTATCCCTCATTTGTTTTGGTTGAGTGGTTATTTGAGATTTCGGTTGAGTTAGTCGTGAAATACGGCCAATTGATCTGTTGTTTTTTTCTGATTTCTATAAGGATAAGTCACAGTGAAAATGAGTATTTTGCAAATTCCATTCATCAAATTTTCACCAACTGAAATAGATAAAACTGAATATACACTAACCACTATTACTTGAAGAGAAATGAATTCCTTTAATTTTGGGGATCTTGAATCTTACCACTATATGTTTTATTAACGATATAGAAAATTTATCTATAGGCGTTTCGGCAACATATATTTAGTTTCACTACGTCTGTGCTATATCGTATCATTTAAACAGAGACAAACATGTCCCGGATCAAAATGATGAGTCCAGTTATCTAACATTGGGTAATTTAGATAATCCTTTTAAGTTACTATATATAAGTTAGTAGTATATTTTTATTATAGTTAAGTAAAGATGAATTTCATGTATAGAATAGATCCACCAACCGTGATGAGAACTTTCGTTAAGAAAATTTATTTTTGATCAAGACATTGAATAATTTAAAAATACAGAACAGAAAATTGGGATTTTCTGTGATTTAAAAACTCGTTGTTGTTTACACTCTTCTGTAACGACTTATGTCAGTAGAATAATGAGTTCGATTACATAAGATTCAACTAAAAAGTGACAGTATGTAACATGTTTATTTATTACTGAGCTAAGTTACATAAGAAACTGAAGTTGACTACGCCAGATAATTGAATTATTTATTTGAAAATGGTAAGCAAAATGCCTTTTGACTGTTTTCATAAACGGAATATGTCATTCCACTAAATTAGTTGTTTTTTTGTAATAATTAAATTTTTATCTTGTGGCAATTCAAAGCACTTTCATGCCAACTTTCAGTAGAATGACCCTACTGAGTACTTTTCATCAATCTCAACCACTTAATTCAACTAATCCTATTATGTTTTTAATGGTTGTAACTTATACACAGAAAAGCTTCAGTAAACAATGAAAAGCATGTACCGGAGACTAGAAGTTTATATGTCAAATTAATCGTGAAACTTACTTTATCATGAACAACTTTCTCAATTGCGTCATTTATCATAGCTTGTATGCGAGCTTTCTCCGCTGATGACCTAAACAAAAGGTTATATATTATCAAACAAACAGCAAAGTATACAAGTTAGTTATTGAAGTTTATACATAAACGTTATTATGAGACAGGCGGTTTTGGTGAAGTTGCGTTCCCCTAGCTGGACGGTTTTATGTTGTCTTTTAAGCAACTTCATTAGCACAAACTTTGGATTAAAGTTGGCTGATATACTGTTCACACATTTGATTAGTAGGTTATTCCGTAAACGTTGATTTTTATCGGTTAATGATGTTCCTTGTTATGTCAATGTCTGCCTATTTATTTTGGATTTCCATTGTGTTCAACCTTATTCTTGTTTGACCTTGCAGTTGTTCATGACTCTTTCAAGTGATTGATATTAACTGACTATTCAATCCAATTCTAACCAAACCATACTTCTGAGTTTCAATTCCTCCCAACCATCCCATGATAGACAGTGTTTATCATTCAAATCAGTTGAAGAAAGGATGGAATTGGAAAATCCAACTTTTATAACACTCGGTTTACCGTCTACACGAATAGGACGCTAATTCGCCTTAGACGAATATCTACACTAGATTCCCTCCTAGTGTTTATTCTACAGGACATCAACACAACTCAGATCAAGAACACGTGACTAGCCTGACTAGAACGTAAGTATATTTCCACACCAAAAACCGACAACAATCACAGTAATAATAAGGGTAAGAGAATATATAACTCATCTAGTACTTGTCAGACTATCTTATAGTCTGACTAAGCAAACAACTAGTCATTATCGTTCTTACCCACACATCACCAACTTAGTGAGAAATCTTCAGGATTCTGTAAATTTGACATCGTAATTTCGAAAACAGAGCAGTGTATTTAAATGAGTTAGTCAGAATAAGGTGGTTTGAAATTTCTACCAACACTCAGTTCAGGATATAGCGTAACTATTGTCCTGTTTATCATTATTAACCCAAAGGTTTCAAATGATGGCGAAACAATTGATCAGTGCTGCCATGAATCATCCAACTACTTTTTAATTAACAAACGTTCAGTAATTGTTTGACAGCTAATCATTACCGTTTAGTTAGAAACCACATTTTCATTTAATTTAAAATACATAATCAGTACTTCAAATATATACACGATAAATTAGTAATCTTGAAAGAATATCAAGAAATGATTATCTCGATTTCAAATTAAACCTCTTTCTATGAATTGAGATATCTATTATGATTTCATGAGGAGATATTATTCGTTCAATTTTTCCTCAATTTTTAGATTACAGCAATAATCAAATTCCTTTGGAAGACTATACATGTTGGGAAACGTGTTTAAAATCCATTTAAGGCAATTAAAGATGAGGAAGAATGAAAAATATTGATGGATTTTTCAACAAAGAAACGGGTCCAATTATATTTTATTTTATTTTGTTTACATAAAAGAGAGTGATTTTTAAGTAAAACTTAGTTTGATTTCATTTTTGTACTGATTGTTTGAATCTTCCAAATGATGTTTAGGACTGCAATTGATCAGTCTCTTATTGGCATATGTACATACTACACACATACTGTGCGTATTGTCTCAATATTGCCTTAAATTACAAACAATATAAGCGGGGATAACGGTGACTAACAGTGGAATCCATGACGCGTGTCTCGACACACATCCAGCTGGCAAGTCTTAAGTAGGACGAAACATGCGTCCTGGATTCCACAGCTAGCCACCATCATCTCTGATTATAAAACTCAGTTTTGTTTGAAACCTAATTTGTCATGAATAAAGTAATAATTGAAACTGTCAGTCTGTAAATTTAGAAGGGGTGTTAAGATCATGATACAATAGGAGGTTGAACAGAACTCTGCTGTGCACGGAAATCAGGTTTGAAAGAATGGATTGTGTTAGCCTTAGTCGTGCACACATTTTCGACTACTTCAAACCTGATTTTTGTGTACAAAAGAGTTATGTTTAGTTTTTTTCTATAATGGTCTTAAAATTCCTTTTGATTTTGCAAATTGTTGAAGTGATCCAGAAAATTGCTTGCAAAAGACAAGCAAGCATCAGGAAACACTAGGAAGCGTTTCATCAGCGTTCACTTGAAGTTTTAGCCAAAAATATCAAGGAAGTGAAACGTCACATACAGAGGTTCTGATTCGCTGATTGCTACACTGCTACTATTTTTAGTCGCACTCCAAAATCTTCTAGCAACCAAAGGACATTTAAAATATTATAAAAACCCTGTATTTTCTGTATTAAAATGAACCTTGGAGTAAAGTACCTCTCGTATACTTTGCGTCTTCTCTCTCGTTGTTCAGGTCACTGTCTAGTTCTAGCTTGGGGGTTACAGAATAGCTTAGGAGACGAATATAGCGTTCAATACGCAATACTTATCACAAATTGTTAGTGTTATGTATTATTTCGGTGTTAACGTCATTTACATTTATTAAATAGACGATTATCTTTTGTTAAATAAGAAAGATTAGTTCAGCGTTGCATTTTTTATCAGATAGTTATTTTTTATTACCTCGAAAATTACTGTTACATTTTTATAGACAATAATTCAGAATACCGTAAATTGCTTTCTTTCAAAATAGGTTCAGTGAAAATCAAGAAATAATGTGATACTGATTTGTCTTCGTTTGCAACCTTTGTCAATAGTTTACACTGTCGATTTAAAATAGGACTACATTGAATATCTTGAGATTTTGTGTTGAGTACTAAAACATTGAGGCATAGTTATTGATAGCATTTGACAAAATTTATTTTTGTAAATAAACCAGTTATATACGTATCTATGTACAATATCCAATACACTCACTTATCTTTATTTAATAAATCAAGTAATCCGAAAATCGATTGATCATTATGTGAAGATTCTAACGCAGCAAGATTATTCTCTAGATTATTACGTCGTCGATTAAGTTCATACAATGCAGTTGAAGCTTTAACGAGAGGATCATCAGGTAAATTAGATATTAATTGACTTATATCATCTGTAGGTGAAATTGTTTTACCAGAATATTCCATTGCAAGTCGAATACTTGGAAGTAAAGTACCAGGTGTAAGTACAGGTTGGGAGTTTGACAGTAAGGCGTTTGAATTTGTATTCTAGAAAGATAATTTGTTAAGAAGATAATTCGAATTATATATTACAAGACATATTGATCTTAGACAATGAAGACCTCTACATCTCAAAGCAACCACGGAATACAATGAAAAGCTTTGATGCAACTAGACGATTAAAACTTCGCTGATACCCATGTTCTTCTATCCCATACAAACCAACCAATGCAGGTCAAGACAACCAGTGTAGCAGTATCTTCCACAGCAGTCAGCCACAACGTATACGAGGGAAAAACCAAAATTGTGGAACACAACATAGAGAACACCAACTAAATCACACTATATGAAAAAGCTCTGGAAGAGGTGAAAACTTTCACGTACCTGGAAAGTATCATATGGAACAGCAACATGTGAAATTCAAAACAACTGTCAACCAACATCGAAGTCAGAAGCCTCAATACGAACATCAAGGCGGTTCTGTTGTGCGACGCTGAAAACTGGGGAACTACTATAACAATTAGCAAAAATGTACACAAGTGTCTATGCAAGATACTTCAGATCCATTGGCCGAATACCATCAGCAAAAACCTACTATGATAGGAAACAAATCAACTTTCAGCTGGACAGGAATGAGGAAGATCAAGGAACACATTAGACCGGGAATTGGAAGCAGACATGAAAGGATGAATTGCAACTGGAAAGGATTGTCCAGGTCAGAGTTTGATAGAAAATCCGGGTTAGTGGATTATGTTTCTCCACAAGGGTTAATAGGAGAAAGTAATTAATGAATTAAGTGCTCAAGTTCATAAGTAAGTAAGTAAATATGTAAGTTATTTATGTGATACATCAAATGGATATACGTTGTTTCGAATGACTCTACGATTTCTTCTTATGAATATGTCCCATATTTTGAAACATTTGTCATATAATTTCATGAATGTACTTAGACGGTTTTGCGAATATTTTATTCAGTTTAACAATGTTTGATAAGATCCCAAACCGATGCTATTTGGTGACTCACTGAGAATAATTGAAAAATCCGTGATATGTGAAGTGTCAAAAAAGTTTAGTGAGAGTTGAACAGATCACCACTGATGTTGCATCAAGATTAGGTTTTATTTTAAATTCACTGGAAATGAAATAATGTACCATTGAATACCAATTAATCGACTTCTGAGTTTGTTTCTAACACTTTTTAAACTGACTCGAATAATACCTAGCAGTGGAATCTAGGAAGCGCGTTCTATCCTATTTGAAACTCTTTAGCTGGATGAATCTTCATCCCAGTGTAGATGTTCAATAATATTAGCAAAGCAATCATCTACGAATGTACAATTAAGTGAAGAGAATGATTTAATTGCAGTCTCTTACATCAACAACTGGAAAATCCAAACTTCTACAACCAAGTTATTCTTGAATTTTTTGTGAGAGTCACCTTTAGATATTAGTCTGTTAGATAATTTTTTTTTAAATTACACTTTCATACTTGTAATAAAATATTAGAAAAGAAACATCGTAAAAACGGCATCTTAACTCACTGTATCAATTTTCTCTGTTTGTTCTAATTTCATACTGTTGTTTTCATCAATTCGATTACGAACATTCTGAAAAAAATTATCATGAGTATAAAACTGATAAAATTTCCAAAAGATGAAAACCAATTGAGTAAACTGTGAGGTAGCAAGATAATCAGTCATTATATGAACAATGACTTAAACATCTTAATAAATTATCCTGAATATATTAAATGTCAAATAATATTAAATGTATAAAGGAACTCAATTACTGAATATATATATTATATTATATTGCATCGTTGGGTCTTAGCACAGTGGTCTGTAGGCTGAAAGTTTGTATGCGAGAGTGAAGATCCTAAGTTTGGTTCTTGGCTGTGCAGTCGTGAATGTGCACTGCTGAAAAGTATCCTATTAGAAATAAATGGCCTTCAAGTGCTTCAAGGTTTTCAATGGTTATTTGGCTTAGATATGCTCGTGATTTCAATAACCTCCACAACTTCATACTGACAATATTAAAAATGTTTTTCTTTGAAAATCCTAGGTAAATTTTGTTAGTCAAGCATCACGTTTTCAAAAAAGAAGACGACAGTAATTAAATAATGCAGTGGGTTTGACAAGTGCTTGGCTGGTTCGTTTAGTGCTAATATAATTCAACCGATATAGTTACAATATGACTATCAGTTTATGCAACCTCATATCGTGTTAAATATATTGAGATATTAGGTGGTTCAGAATTTCCTGAGGACTACATTCAACCACCCAGAAGTGTAGCCCCCAAATGCCCTGGTATGGCCGAGAGTGGGGTGGGCCCGCCCTCCCTCTCGAAATGCTCTCACACGGTCACGCGTATGCAGCCTCTGCCAGGGAAGTCCTACTCATTGTCTTCTCGTGGCGGGGGTGTTGTTTACAAAAATGAGAGGACAAAAAGCGAATGTCCGGCGCTTTAACCGGATCTCAAATCAATGGTGCACATGGGCTCCAGTATCCTGCGAGAACGAATGGCGTATGAACCAATTGTTGGTCACCGGCTACCATGGGACTGCATCTCCTCACGATGCTCCACTGCCTTGTGGATCAGACCTTTAGATCAAAGGCTCGGGGTGTGGCCCCCTAATAAAACCACCTGCCTCGGTTTGGGCACCCGGGCAGTATCACAGCTCACACACACACACAAATATGGTGTGACGCATATATATTTGGTGCCCCCTTGTACCAATATTTATGTGTTGAAATAAAAAAATAAAAAAACCCAGAAGTGTAGTTATTTTCAATAGAAGAAAAACTTACAAGTAATAAGTCTTTTATTTCTCGATAAACTGAGCGAAGTTCATTCACCATTTCTTTTGTTTCGTCCACTTTTGTTTCTTGTTGAGTACTGAAATATTAACGATAAGAAACTAAATAGACTATTAGTCATTGGTATGTCTTAAAATTGTCATCATTGTTATAATAAATCTTTATTTTCACTACGGAGAGTTGTGAAGATTATAGTAATTTTAACAGTTGAGTTCATTAATTAATCTAAGCTAGACCACCATTGAAAACCTGGAAGCACTAGGCGGCCATCTCATCCTAGTGTGGAACTCCACAGCATTGTTCATCCGCAATCCTACACTCGAGACTCAAACCCAAGATCTTTAATATCGCGCGTGAAGGCCTAACTTCTTGACCAATGAGCTGGCATCCAAAGGTGTCCATATCTAACTTCAATTAATCCATGATCTTTCATCCATTGTCTGAAATTGATAACTGTCTCAAACCCGACATGGATTGAACTCCATTGATCACGGCTTCATAGTTTTATTTAACTTGTGTAAATTCACTTAAATTAACATTTTATGTTAGTTATTTTGTTACTAAGAAATTTATTTTATTTTAACAAACAATTCCAAATGTACGCACCATAACTTTAAGCTATGTATTTACCTTAAAGTTACTTACTTTATGAATTATTCATTTAGACGTACAACTGTCGAATATGATGAGGATTTACTGGAAAGAATATACTTTATTCATATTATCAGTGTTTTAATACAATAAAAATTTTAAAAAACTCTTAGATGGTTAAGAAAAAAAATTAATTAGATATTTTCATTTATCAATTCTGTAATTTTGTGCAACAGCTAATATATATGTAAGTTAAAAATACATTTATCTCTAGTCAATGTATTTATTGAGAGGTTGTAAAAGTCTTTAGGAAAGTATAAATTCATAAAATTCATGATGAAATGTTAGTAATCATGATATGTGAATCACTCAAAGCTTGATGACAATCTTCAGTAATAGCTTGATACTAACGAGTATAGTAAAATAAAATTTTTACAGTATTAGATGAAAAATGCAGATAAATAGAACAGAAATCCCAACAGCAACAAAAAAACACAGTTAAACAATACAATTATAAACGAAAAGATCGATAAATATGTAAAAAGTTAAAAACTGTTCAATGTATTGGGTGATAAATACCATTACTCTCTTTTAAATTATAAAATCTAAGGTATCCAATCACCGATTTTTACTAACATAAAGACATCAAATAGAAAGCTTACGGTACGACCAAACAAAATCCCGTTGTTTTATGAAATACTATCTGCTCACATTTGACCTTCTTTCAATCGTTATTCTAGTGGACAGCAAATAACTAGATCACTTCAGTCAATGATCAACTTTATAATTCAGCGTATTCAATTAATTAATTAAAAGTATCACATAATGTAACATTATTCGCTATTCAATGGCTAGTCACTATATGAATGAATGTTTAGAGGTTGGGAAACCTAGCTCTATTCACTAACAAAGCTCACATTGACCTTATATATCGATGGAGAGGATGTAGGGCTGTTTGCCACTTCTTGATTACGCAGACTATGGAAAGATACTTATTCTTGATGTATTTAAAAATAAAATTTAGTTAAAAGTGACCTAGACTATCTAGGAAATTGAACACAGTGTCCAAGGGACAACTAATAATATGATGTGACAACTGGGTGGAATGTGTATTTCTTTCAGGATTTAATGTTGATTAGGACTGAATTTTTAATTACTCAACAGAATTGTAAAAAGTGAAAGAATAAAATCAATATACTTCCACTTAAAACTTTGAAAAAGTGATGAAAAAAAATACAATAGACATTAATGAATGAAAAGCTTCGTAACATACTTATTATCTAAAATATTAAAATTACTAACATAAACGAGATATATCATTCGACATCAACGTTTATGCCATTAAACGTCAATTGACTCATGATCTCAACTATTGAAATTAGTATAATATCCACAAAAACCCCTTCGGATATTAATCTACATATGCTCTTTAGTGATTGGCTTCAAGAGGTATATCCTGGAGTTCTAGTAAGCAGCAGTGACCAGTGGAGTTCAATCGGGTCTGTTGTGAGATAGTAACTCACTGAAGGCAATGATGGATGTGTCGCTCAATTTCGTGGATTAGTTGAAGTTAGACATTAACACTGTTGGATGCCGGCCGGCTCAGTGGTCTAGAGGTTAGGCTCTCGCGCGCGAGACTGATAGGTCCTGGGTTTGGATCTAGCGAGGTGGGATCGTGGACGCGCATTGCTGAGGGGTCCAACAGTAGGACGAAACAACCGTCCATTGCTTCCAGGTTTTCCATTGTGGTCTAGCTTCAATTGACTCATGATTTTAAATATTGAAATTACTATAATATCCACAAAAACCTCATTCTGATATTAAATGAACCTACTTTTTTGTTTTTAAATCTTCAACTTTTGAATCCATAATCATATCAGAAGATTCCAAATATTTTTCTAATTTATCCAAAGTTATTTCAGGATCATCATCATCATCACCATTATCATAATTGCTGATATTTTTTATTAAGTTTTTATCTTGTTTTTCATTTAAAGATTTTGTTATATTTTCACATTTTAATTTATTATTAGGTAATTGTAATTTATTATAAGATGAATGAATGAATTTTTCTTTCGGAACTTTTCTATTTTTTGGTTGATTTAACTGAAATTGTTTCTGTGTAATTGTTGGTTCTGAAAAATAAATAAAAACAGAAGAAAAAAACAAGATAAATTGTAAATTTAACATCAGTTTCAGGGAAAATAATTCTCATTTAATCAATCGTTTTGATATTGGTATTGATTGAACAACATTTCAATATTATCAGAATGGGTTTTGTGGAGATTTTTAGAAATTTCACAAGTTGAAATCATGAGCCAATTGAAGCTAGACCACCATTGAAAACCTGGAAGCACTGGACGGCCGTTTCGTCCTAGTATGGGACTCCTCAGCAGTGCGCATCCACGATCCCGCACCCCGCGGGACTCGAACCCAGGACCTACTGGCTTCGCGCGCGAGCACTTAACCATTAGACCACTGAACCGGCATCCAACGGTGTTAATGTCTAACTTCAACCAATCCACGAAGTTGCGCCACCGTACACCATTGTCTTCAGTGAGTTCCTATCTCACAACAGACCTGGTTGAACTCCACTGGTAACGACTTCTCACTAGAACTCCAGGAGTGTCTCCTGAAGTCAGTCACTAGTGAGCCGGTGATTATTATTATTATCAGAATGGGTTTTGTGGAGATTTTTAGAAATTTCACAAGTTGAAATCATGAGGAGTCCCATACTAGGACGAAACGGCCATCCAGTGCTTCCAGGTTTTCCATGGTGGTCTAGCTTCAATTGGCTCATGATTTCAACTTGTGAAATTTCAATATTAGTCTAAGTTCAACTTTATATCATATTGAACATGAAAAGGATTCGAACCCAGAGTTTAATGATTAAGTATGGATTGTTTTAAATATTACACTAATAATTTATATAAGAAACAGAATCATATAAGAATAATCTAGACATACTTCAGTCGACTGAAAATGAACTTAAGCTAAAGTGAGTAAATTATTTAGTTAACTCAAAAATAAGTAGTATCATATGAAACGATTCTTTACAGCATACAGAAGCATGAATGAACATAAAATAAATATTTCATTTATGTAGTGATGCAGTATCATTAAACAATTTATATTTATGTAAAGTACTATTGTTTATTTATAAGTGGAACTGTTGTTATTTCCTGATTACTAATATAATTCGTAATGTAGTTAATGAAAGCTCAGATGCAGTAAACAATCAAACAATGACCTTTGTAGAATATGAAAATCATACATTAAATACATCATCTATACATCTTCCTTCAGTTGTCCTTTAAATTCTATTATTATTCCTAATGCTCTCCGTTTTTCTCCTTGTTCTATTTGTTTCAATCTTATGCTGGTAAGCCTACTACATACTACTTATATCTGTCAACAGAAGTTGCGCACACCACAGTATTACAAAGACTTGTAAAAAATTCTTCTGTATGCAAGTTAATTTAGTAGTGTAATGGAGAGACAAAAAATCAAATTCAGATATTAAAACATTAGGAATTACATTGACTGGCTAATTCCCGGCTGTTTTTTATTTAAATTATTTAATGGTAGTATCCTAACTAGCTATTATAGAATAATTTATTAAATATTGGTTACTATTCATCTAGTTGTCTGAAAAATTACGGTCTAAGGTAAGTTGGAATTAAAAAGTAACCAATTTCATGTGGTTCAATTCTATCAGTCAAGTTGCAAAGTGACCATTTGGCTATATAACATTTTTGACTATCCTGTCTAGTGGTTAACGGTTAGAGGCATCGTAAGAGAACTAGTATTCCCTATACGATTCAAAATCACATCAAAGAAAATATAAGTTTCTTTAGAAATGCGGTTGCATCTTTGTAAGGATTGTCAACTATGACTCTCATAGATTCATATGATCTTTCATTTGATTTCTTAGAGTACTCAGAAATACTGTATACGATTATTTCAGTTGATTATTAATAATAAAAACAATACAGTTCATTGTTTACCTTTGTTACTAAGGACAAATAAAAAAACAGATACTTTGTCAGCTAAAGATATCGAACAAGATGTGGTAATGAAATAATACGACAGGAAATTCAATAGGTTACTTTTTAGTATTTTTAAAAATTTATTATCAACCTTTAACAAACAACACAAAGCGTAGATTCAGATTGTATTTATAACCTTAAAAAATTGACTTCAGTTGTAAGATTATTAATGGTAAATAGCTATATGGAGTAGGGCAATTTCCTAATAGAAAATACGAATAACTGTGCAACCCGAAAGTGACTCTAAAAGCGATAAAGTTAGATGCTTGAAATTATATATCTGAAAAGTCTGATACCCAGTTGATTATTATTTGAAATAGACAATTTTGATAAATAATAAAAGTGATTAAGACATAAAGACATTACGTTCTTTAGTGGATTTAATATAACTGAGAACGAACATCAGCCGGTAAGCTACTAGAAACTACGGAACATCAAGGGATTCCACAATATAAAATGACTGTCAATGGAAACTAGCTCAGCTTCATGGGGTTCTTAGAAGTCTATTTTAAAACTGGTCAATAACAAGGGCATGATTATTATTTAAGAGAGGTGGTTTGTTCAATGTTAGGGTTTTTTCATCATTTACTGTCTGAATTTCGCTTTGATTTGCACATATGTTGAATTCTGCTTGAACCATTAAGTTATTTAAAACTGCTTACAGTGTAAAGATAGTTAACCATGATTAACTTGTGTCAAATATTGTTACATTCGTGAAATCATTTATTGTTGCACTGAGCTGCATGAGTAGGAGCAGGCTACTTAATTAGGGTCAGTGCTATGATCGTAACCAATTTTTGACAACATTGGTTCAAGTGGCTCAGAATGATGAGTGACTTTACCATTCAGCTTCCCTTACACGGTGGTATTAAAATATCACCATACATTTTTTCTTCCACAAATTAATCCTCCGATCACATCATTTGTACCCAATCTTTTGTACGACCACTATTATTGTTACTGGTCCTACTACTTTTATATTTGCCCTGATAATTGCATCATGCTGTGCTGATAAGATATATAAACTTCAAACGATTCACATATATCCTTGCTTCTACACTGCATATTGAGTTTGCTAATATATATCTAATAAAATACACCTATAGAAAGGATTATAGGTAGATATCACTAGGGCTACATTTATAAAACTTGTAGGTCAATCCATCAGTTCATACTTCTACATTTATCCAACTTTTCTAAATTTCTAGATGTTTAGAGTTAATTAAGTAATATTATAACATTTTATTCACTTAGTTCATTACCATAAAATAAATGATTTAAAACACAATACAAAAAAAGATAATTTCATGTTAAAACTTACTTGTTTTCGATTTCAAAGACTGATGATCAACTGATTTTTTCTGATCAGTTAATGATTTTCCCTTGATAGTTTGATATGTTGATTTTTGATTAGTTGGTAAATCATGATATTGCTTTTGTATTGAATTTTCTTTATTGAGTTTTTCCAAATGTTCATCAATATCACGTTCAATTTTATTTGATACAGATGATGGTAAATGTTTTGATGCATAATTATCTTGTAGTAATGATAAACGATGTCTGATGTCATTTAAATTATCCTTTAAATCCACAAAACATAGAAAGGAAAAAGAAATACAAGTATAGAAATGAAAATAAAGGAATCACTCAATGGTTGAGTAAAATATGAAAATCATACATCAGATATATCATTTGTACATCTTCTTTGAATTGTCTCTTACAGGCGTTATGGTTCCTTCATTCCTGTTGTTATCTTGATTGATTTCAGTTTCATTTTCTCTTTTCTTCATTTCAATTTTTTCAACCTTCTGCTCACAAATATTCCATTTCCGACTGGTGTCATATACTGCTTACATCTGTCAACATACACCACAGTATTACAAGCTTTATTTATTCATCTAATCTCCAAATTATGTTGTGAATCATAGTTATATGCTAATGCATTATGTTTTACCATAGATTAAGGGAAAAAATATATTTCATTCCACTAATCTAATTACATTTACGGTTGATATTAAGTTACTGTTATATCAAATTAAATATTTAAAATTAGGTGAATTGAAAGTTTAACAAAGGTAATATTAATTGAAAGAAATAATGAGAATATAAAGGTGAATTAAAATGTTCAGTAAAGATTGTGTATATTTATGATGACAATTTAGTGTTACTTGGAATTTCATATTTACTCGGTTAATTATCAGAACTTTCAGAGACACATTGAATATTTCTCTGCAAATTTCAATTTATCTTATTCAACGAATGAATTGTTCATTGAGATGTTTTTAAGGTTAAAATTATAAGCGGACGGATATTTCTACAGATAAATATCATTGAACTTATAATATAAAGCTTATGATAACAGTTGACAAATGAAGTGTTTTGCTTACAGTAGTATCGTAGTTATAACTGTAAGTCGTTGAGATGAAGTCAAATATATGGCTGACTTATTAAAGTCAATAACAGTGGTACAAATGCGCATATTTATTGTTTTCGTCTAAATCTTTGTTTTTCATTATCAATTTTGTGAGTCAATATCTATCATTAATTTTAAGCCATATTTCCCTTTCCAGCCAAACGTAGCTGATGAAGCCGGTAGTTCCTTCTTGAGAAGAGGTGTACATGGAAGAACAGCACAACTACCGAGGCGCAATCATCACTTTTGGAATTGATTTTTCTATCATTTGGCCTAGTATCCTGTTCAGTGATCGCTGATCATCGATGTAATAGATAGCAATGATTTATTATGCCTTTGAGTGTACAAAGCATCTTTTCACATCCATCGAACGGACATTGACGTAGATTGTTGGCCGCGTACTATATGTGTTGTTGTGCTTTGAGGACTGATATTTGTTTAGATTGTTGCTTGGGCAGTTGATGTATTTTGTGTATGCGTATGATGACGTGATCGAATATGGAGTTGTGGTCATCCAGCAGTCTAATATATTTTTCCGTAGTCTGTTAATGAGCATTTGTTTTGATCTATTTGTGTAGTGGCTGAGGTGTTCAATTTGTGATCGTCCCCTAAGTGCCTGTACATCTCTGTAATGCTGGCGAATAGTTGATGACAATATTCGTTTTGAAACTTGCTTGTCCAATTTTCCAAAACTTTGGATGTTATGATTTTAAATTATTTAGATTTTGTTTTGCTAGTTATTTTATCCTATGTGGCTTATATGAACTACGATATCTTGAACCGATTTATATTTATACTAGGACCTGAGCTATTTATGACTGACTTTGTTGTTTAAGAAAATATTTTTCACTAGTTAACGATCTGTAGGTTTTTCAAAAACATAGTATGTGTTATTGCAAGTACAACAAAATCATTTGAAAAATTTTACATTCAGGAGCACAGAAGATACAATATCAAAAAAGTCAACTGAATGTGTTTAATTACACATATTTTAAGGTCTTGGGGTATATGATCTATTCAGTAAACATAGCAGCTGGGGTACTAACGTTTTTAGTTAGCAGCTATAACTCTCACTAAATCAATTATATTACGTACCTAAAACAGATAGGGCGTTAAAATACTCATCAAGACCTTACGAAGATACTTTTCTGGACAAGGGTACAAAGGCTCAACATCAAATTTATGGCCAAACGTAGAAAAACATCTCAGGCAATTCATGAAATGTTAAAGGGTGTTTGATAGATAAACTGTTGAGGAAAACAACTCCTTACGAATGGATGAAGCAAGATCAGGACTAAGATGGTGTAAAGACGATAATACGCGAACAATGAGCCAGTGTAAGAGCAAAGTTAATAAGAAATTTTAAAAATATGTCGGATGGTGGAACTGGGGAGTATTTCTAGCAGAGGAAATTTTGTAGAGTAGAATTTATTTGACAGAAGATCGCTGAGTTCACTGGACAAAAACTGGCAAAAAACGTAAACAATTTATATGAATACATTTCTTTTTTTAACTAGACATTTTTGATTTTATGTCTGTTATTTATCTGTTGAATACTTAACTGACTCATGTTTGGTACTGAAAACCTCGAGTCTGACGGTATGTGGTGAAGGTAGCGATCTCCACAAATTCTAATTTTGTGTCTTCTAACATTGGGTGATTTCATCTTAAATTTTAACGTATACTTTACACTGACCGCTATATAATAATATTTAAAAGAATTCGAATTGTAGTAGCTAAACAATAAATTATTGAAAATGGTTGTTGGGTAAAACAAATTCACTACTTCACTGCATTTTTAGATTAGAATTACGAAATACTTCTTTTAAAAACTTGTTGAATGAGTTTATATTACATCCAAGACAGATTGCCAAATAGTTTAAGCATATATTCAAACATAATAATTGATGGTAGTTACAGTCTTCCAATTTATTACTCGGTGTCGGTTGAAATATATAATAATTAAAAAGCATACCTGTAGTAATTCTTCATCAGTAAGTGGTCGTAACTTTTCCGGATTATTCAATAAATTTGTAGAGCTCGAGTCAGCTTTAACACAACATGGTACTGTGCACGACTGACAACAATCTGGTTTAGAGAACCAAACTTTTGGCGGGGTTTGTAACCGTGGAGAGTCAGTATAAGTACGATTTTGTGGTAATAAGCATTTTCCACCAACGAGGTCATGACAGAAACATACATCATTTTCATTTAAAGGTGAACGTGAATATTTACATATTTCTTCTAACTGCACTGACAAATTTTGAACCTATTATAGAAAGATAAAAGTGGTCGAATGTTACATAATTTTTCACCATTACAGCAATTAACAAAACTCTAGCCAAACGAAAATTTGTGACGTTGATCAATTCGGATAAAGGAGTATGCTAGTTTAAAGAATGCCATTCATCAATGAACACTTGCAATAAGTAATGTGATTACGCGTTTGTTTAGTCACCAATAAATCATGATCTTTTAGTCGTGTAATACTCTGGATTTTAAAGATACAGTTATATCTGTCTTTTAAAAGATGTTTTTGTGAGAGAATATAGCTAAAGTGGTGTGGTTGTGTGACAGTAGTGTAGGGCGTACTAACGTTATCTAAATGCTAAAATCAGAGGGCGAAACAGTTCACAATTTTGAATATTGTTATTCATTATAACAAACAAGTTGAATTGTCACATTACCTTGAAAATATTGTTCAAAACAATTTTTTTGGATATTTTCCAGTAGATGGTAATGAAAATAAATTATTATATGTTGATTTATGTGAACATGTATACGCATAGTCCCCTTTAGTCACTGTGTTCAGTATTTCCATGTATGCATCCCCTTTTGCATACCTAAATACAAACTAAGGGTTAAAGGATTCCAAATGATCGCTAAATTTTATGCGAATTTTAAATACTATTGTGTCTCAGCTATTTGTGATCATCAAAATTGACAGTTAGCAATAATCGCTAGTGCCTTGCACAAAATCACAGAACTCAAACTTTCCACAAAGTCTTAAAACCGTTAAATTCTCCCAAGGGCTAACGTGTTTCTACAGATTAAGGACAAACTAATGCTCATTTTATTACCTTCCCAACCACTCTGTAATAGAAAGAAGTCAAAAGTATAAATAATAGCTTACTACAAACACATTTAAGCTCCAAATATGGCTTACCTTTCCTTTCAAATCAATTAGTTCAATATCGTCATTGATGCTTTCTAAATTACCACCGGTTTTATTTGAAAAATCGCTATTGATATTGTGGTTATTACTAAGATAATCAGCCTCTTTTTGAACCAGTAGCTCGTCAGCAACGATGTCTTTGTCATTCAGGCATAAAGGATCTTCAAAAATAACTTTCCTGATTTTAAGATTAACAAATGGTGTAATGCTCAAAAATATTAGAAATTATTACCTGCTTGCGAGTTTTGATCTAACTTTTGTTGTTGTTGGCTGCTTACCTTTTGTGACACTAAGCATACCATTTTTCTTCGTCAAATTTATGTTTGAAGGAATATACTCATTCATCATTTCCTGCACATGAAACAATTCATAATGTAAGACAATATTTTCCATGTAATGGTAGAAACTGGTCTAATCACCTAGACATCATAAGTATTATAATAAAATAATCAGCATGAATGCACTTAAGTTCACTTGGGAGACTAAACATTATGTATTGTAACCTGTTTTAATGTCTAGTGAAACCACTGATAAAACAAAATATTTTTGTTTTTATCAACTGAGATTCTTCTATGAAGATTTTCTACTGTTTGAAGGCAAAATTCAGCACAGACTGGTGGATCTTGGAGAATTATTGAAAATTTCCGCGATTTCGAGAGCTGTTTGTTCTAGTTTAAAAGTTCAGAGACGTGAAAACTTGCGAATCCGCACGGCGTCTAACAAAGATTTTTCCGACTTCTCAGAAAAGAAGAAACATTGAGCTAAGTGAATCAAAATTCAAGTCAGTTAAAATGTTACCCATAGCTTAGAACTCCCAAAATTATTTGAATGATCTCAAACCTGGCAGTTGCCGATTATTACTTCCAAGTGTATTGTGATGCATATTGGTCATCAAGGTACAGATACATACACGATGAATAACACTGAGCTACCTATCGTCCAGACATATAATGACTTAGGAGTCATCGTTAGCCAAGACTTAAAGATTACTGCACAGTACCGTGTAATAGCCGCCAAAGGTTTTAGAACTTTATGGTCGATACGTAGGGCCTTTAGTCACGTCGACACTAAAAGGTTTTTGACTGTGTATACAGTGTTTGTGAGTCCTAAATTTGAGTACTGCATACAAGCGGCTAGCCCCTGCTTAAAAAAAGACAGTGAGCTTTTGGAAAACGTTCAGAGAACGGCAACTAAGCTGATTCCCGGAATAGCGAAGCTTCCGTATGAAGCTCGACTGGCCAAGCTGAACCTTTTCCCGTTGTCATATCGCAGAACTAGAGGTGATTTGATTACAGTTTTAAAACTGTTTAGTGATAAATTTGCACCTGATATCCCCACATTTTCCTTGTCTTCCAAAACAGAGAATTTACGAGGACACTCAGAAAAAGTTCACAAGTCAAGAACAAATTACTTGTCAGCTGACTATCGACTTTCCCATCGAATCATCAACGAGTGAAATTCATTACCTCAGCACGTGGTTGGGGCTCCATCCGTCGACTCTTTCGAAAGAAAGTTGGATCAACTGAGAGACCATAATTGCCGGGACTAACACATGCCATTAAGCCTCCTGTCCTTTCAAAAATGAAACTGAAATATCATTATGTGTAGGTCTTGAGCTATAGGAAATTGAATAACACTAAAGTGTAAACCATCGGGTTCTAACCTAGTGGTTTAAAGGTATCTTCATCATTGCAGAAATTTGAGGTACTGATCGTGTTTCTATGCAAAAGCTTGACTGGACAATGCTAAATAAAGCCTAGGTTATGATATTGTAGCTGTCTAGTATTTTCATTATTCAATAATTTCAAAGCGCACTGTCCGAGGTTTAAGAACTTCTGAGGAAAAAACTCCTAAAGATTTCAAATGAGAACTGTACCTTTACTTACAAATCTATAAATCGCACAATAGAGTCAGCTATTAACAAAGACAAAAATCGTTAGTTGGCACATGTGGTATTCAACATATATACGTAGTTTTTGATGTATTACACATCTTGTTTTGTAGAAACAGTCTTTGATACTAAGATGAAAGAAGTGCTATGTAGGTCGTGTAGATGATCTTGATGGCATTATGTTCGTTCAACCGAGCAGTTTCATTGTAAAGCTTTTATTGTTTTTCATTTATGAGGTCTAAAATCAGTTCAGAGAGAATGACAGTTAAAAGTGGTATGTAAACAATGGTAGAACAAGGTACAGCAATAACCAGTTGAGATCAAGGTCATCAGTCAGTATGTGGGAAAGTGGCGACAGATTATTTCTATTTCAGTTTTACAAGGGTGACATCCAAGAGGACAATGAAATCCACGACTAAATAACTTAGCTTTGAGAACGACATAATACTAAAGTTATCTGGATACTTTCAGTTAGGAATTCAAGACTGGAACTTGCATCAACAGTTACAAGTTTCTTCACACAGTTCACACTGAAGTTTCAGTTTTCCTTCTAGTTACGGTAGAGATAAAAGACGACCAGTTTATAGGTGTTTAATTCGATAATGGGAGCATCAGAGTTTATCTTGAACGGTTACAAAATTTCACATGATAACAAAAAACACTACATTATCTTACCTTGTCTCATGACTGGCATTAAAGTCTTCTTAGTCAGACCAGTGTCTTACGTTTCTAATAATCTGTTATATTTTGAACACGTATTTCTCTGTTTGGAACAAGAAAAACAGAACTAAAAAAATATAGAAACTACAAAAACACGGATGAAACAGTTAGCATTGATGCCAGATTTTGACAAAATGTCGTCGGTGTGGGGGCTTCTAGAAACTTCACCTAGGTGTAGCCGATGAATTCTTAAGGAATCAAGGTAAGCGTTTAATCAAAAACTACCGATATTAATGCCAAATAATGAGGAAATAATTTTAAGAGACTAATAGAACTCATACCATCAAGTTGTATTGCTTCAAGACCTTGTTGTAATCAAAAAATTAAAACAAAGCTCTAGCTAAGCTACAGAAACATTCCTAGGGATCTTAACATCACAACTGTTTCATCTGACAAAGGAATCATTTGGCTATAGCCTGTATACTGTGGTATAAATTAAGATGTACCATTATACGAAAACATCTCATTAAGTCAATAAACTATTTAGGACGAACGTTCTGTTGCCTAAGAGCTTTTATTTGGCTACATCACTAAAAAATTTATAATCCTGTAAATTATGATGCTCCAAACGGTTTTTGTTACACTATACTTGAAGATCTTATAAATCAGTTCCCGAATTGTATTGTCCCAGTTACGGTTAACCTTAAGTATATAACAAGATGCTCGGTTAACAGGGTTATTTAGTGAGTGATTTGTAAAATACTTGCGTTAATTAAGAAACTAGACAAAAGCATAAATAAACTTGAAAGTGCACCACGATAAAATCTATGTTAAATAGAGAAATCGATATAAACAAACAAACTTTTCACCTTGATGATACAAAACTTTATACTGAGTTTCTTCCATTTCGTATGCTTACCAGATGGGCTATTGTTTATTAATTATCACTTTACACATTTTTCAAGCGAATAAAAAACGTTTGGTTTTGAATTGTGTGAAATGGCTCCTAATGACATAAATATAACCTTTTTTGACCCTTCGTGAAGAATATATCGTCTTCTTACAAAAAAGTGGTGGAAAAATAAACGCTGGTTGGTATTTCTTAGTACCATTAGAAATGAGGGAAATGTCCAGCCTTTCTTTCTCATATTATATTTCTGCGGATAAACTGCCTAGGATAGATTGATGAAAAGAATCGGAGGATTCTACTCAACGAACCACCGAAGCCAACAGGTAAAAAACAGGTGAAGGCAAATATATGGAGTTGAGCGATCAACAAAGAACAATAAAAGCAAACCACTCACAAAAATTTAAGCACTCTTAACATGGTAGACCCGAGAGTTATAGAATTGAACGGGCAGCTACCCTTCGCACTTTTCTCAAGATATCCGAGTCATTTTCAAGCATAGGCCTGCGGAATGAACAAAGTTTTCACGTCACCTTGCTAAAGGTGTACAGTCTAGGGAGTCTAGTGGACTTGAAACCAAATTATTCCAGACTGCTTAAAGTAGTATTCAACTCTTCGAACGAACGTGACCTAATTTTACAGAATGGACACAAATTAAAGGGTTCAGGAGTCTTTATGCGAAAGGACTTACCGTTGGCAGAATGTGTAAAAAGACGGGAAGCCGAAAATGAACTACAGCTTAGGTTAGACGCTGGAGAAAAGGACCTAAAAATTGTAAATTTTCGGGTTGTAAGGCTTCGACAGAGAATTATTCTGAAGCCACTCTGGGTGAAGCACGAAGCCACTCAAATAGGCTTCGGATCTGCTACACTAATGCCCGGAGCTTACTTAATAAGCGATCGGAACTAAGTGTACAGATTGACTCTACAAAGCCAGACATAATCGCAGTTACAGAAACCTGGCTGACACAGGCTATAGATAGTATGGAACTTGTTTTCGAGGGTTTTACGTTAGTAAGGGCCGACAGAATACAAAAGCGTAAAGGAACGGGAGTAGCTCTATTCATTAGGCATGCTATCACATTTGCCATTATCGACAGTGTATCCCATGAGAGTGGGAAGTGTGAATTAGTTAGTCTTCGCTTGAAATGCAAGGGACAAGAGCTGCTGATTGGTTTGGTCTATCGCAGTCCAAGCCGTGAGGTAAATGAAGTCCTGCTAAGCAGTCTCAATACTTGGTCACAAAGTGGTCAGTGTCTAATCCTAGGGTACTTTAATGCACCTATGGTAGACTGGGAAAATCTGCGAACTGAATTGTCAGAAAATTCCTTCGAGCAGGAACGGGTTGATACGGTTATCACATGTGCCCTAGTGCAACATGTGAAAGAAGCGACTAGGTACGACCCGGACACTGAATCATCCTCACTAGATCTTATACTCACTCACTATGTGGATGACGTTGCGAACCTTCATTATATGCCACTCCTAGGTAAAAGTGATCACGCAGTTTTAATTTTCGACTTCCATATAACTGTCAGTCACGAGAACGCGTCAGCCCAATCCAGATCTAACGTCTGGAAAGCAAACATACCATATATCATGCACTCAACATCGTTAGTAGATTGGACAATAGACCCAGAGTCCTCCATTGAAACGGCCTGGGACGCACTTCAAAATTCATACTTAATAGTTACCACACCCCACATCCCTTGGACTATACCAAGGGGGCCGAGAAACTCCCCACCATGGTTCAGTAGGGAGGTCCGCATCCTTCTCCGTAAGAGAAGAAAGATGTGGGATAGATTTAGATTACTGGGGACTGATGAGACAAAATCTCAGTATCAAAAAGCTCGGAATGCCTGTGTCTCGACCCTCCGTAAGTCTAAAGAGTTGTAAGAAGAAAAAATTGTTAAGAAATCCACAGTGTCCTAAACGTTTGTATTCCTATGTAAACCAAAAGACAAAAAGAAGAGGAAATATTACTGCTCTATGGGGAGAGCACTGCCGCATCATTAGTGGAGGACGACTTTGGTAAGGCTCAAGTGTTCTCAAACTACTTTAGCAATGTATACACCATAGAAGCACCCTTCCCGTCAGCGCATACAGATCCCCCCACATATACACTTGATAGCGTGACCATTAAAGAACTCGATATCTCTGGTCTACTAAATAAGCTCGACATAGGTAAATTCACGGAGCCCGATGAATTACATCCTGGGCTACCGAAGGAATTATCTAACTTCGTTGCGAACCCTCTAAGTATATGCTTTAACCTATCCGTAACGCAGGGTCGTTTACCCAAAGACTGGAAAAACGCCATAGTAAGTCCTGTCTTCAAAACAGGTACGAAACACAAACCTGAGAATTACCGCCCCGTTAGCCTAACTAGTGTGGTTGTTAAAGTCTTAGAAAAGATTATTCGGAAGGAGCTGTTTAAGTATCTCGATAAAAACCGGATCCTTTCGGAGAAGCAGCACGATTTCAGAATAGGTTACTCTTGTCTCACTAACTTATTAGTGGATCGTGAAAGCTGGTGGGCTCTTAAGGACCAAAAGTTACCTGTAGACGTAGCCTTCATTGATTTCAGCAAAGCTTTTGACAAGGTTCCGCAAAACCGGCTGTTATATAAGTTAAGAAATGTCGGGATTGGAGGCAATCTATTTATGTGGATAGAAGACTTCTTAGTTGGGCGTCAACAAAGAGTTCGGGTGAACTCAAAGATATCTAGTTGGGGAACTGTGCTTAGTGTAGTGCCCCAGGGTACGGTTTTGAGGCCGGTGCTATTCCTCTTGTATGTAAATGACTTCCTCGTCTCTTATTATCATTGGTCTTGCTATATGCTGACGATGTCAAGATATGGAGAACGATACGATGTGAGGGTGATAGCTTAGAACTTCAAAATGACTTGAAGAAATTATCTGAATGGTCTCGAACTTGGCAGTTGCCGATTATTACTTCCAAGTGTATTGTGATGCATATTGGTCATCAAGGTACAGATACATACACGATGAATAACACTGAGCTACCTATCGTCCAGACATATAATGACTTAGGAGTCATCGTTAGCCAAGACTTAAAGATTACTGCACAGTACCGTGTAATAGCCGCCAAAGGTTTTAGAACTTTATGGTCGATACGTAGGGCCTTTAGTCACGTCGACACTAAAAGGTTTTTGACTGTGTATACAGTGTTTGTGAGTCCTAAATTTGAGTACTGCATACAAGCGGCTAGCCCCTGCTTAAAAAAAGACAGTGAGCTTTTGGAAAACGTTCAGAGAACGGCAACTAAGCTGATTCCCGGAATAGCGAAGCTTCCGTATGAAGCTCGACTGGCCAAGCTGAACCTTTTCCCGTTGTCATATCGCAGAACTAGAGGTGATTTGATTACAGTTTTCAAACTGTTTAGTGATAAATTCGCACCTGATATCCCCACATTTTCCTTGTCTTCCAAAACAGAGAATTTACGAGGACACTCAGAAAAAGTTCACAAGTCAAGAACAAATTACTTGTCAGCTGACTATCGACTTTCCCATCGAATCATCAACGAGTGAAATTCATTACCTCAGCACGTGGTTGGGGCTCCATCCGTCAACTCTTTCGAAAGAAAGTTGGATCAACTGAGAGACCATAATTGCCGGGACTAACACATGCCATTAAGCCTCCTGTCTTTTCAAAAATGAAACTGAAATATCATTATGTGTAGGTCTTGAGCTATAGGAAATTGAATAACACTAAAGTGTAAACCATCGGGTTCTAACCTAGTGGTTTAAAGGTATCTTCATCATTGCAGAAATTTGAGGTACTGATCGTGTTTCTATGCAAAAGCTTGACTGGACAATGCTAAATAAAGCCTAGGTTATGATATTGTAGCTGTCTAGTATTTTCATTATTCAATAATTTCAAAGTGCACTGTCCGAGGTTTGTGATCAGTTATATACTGTGATTAATTATAGTCAACGCCTCGTATTCTCTCCCAAAAGTCAAACGCCGTTGTGAGTTACACAATAATGGCTATTAGGACGAAGGATACGCAAAGATTTAGGAACCATCTCGGGAAGATTCTACTGAAGATTTCTGTCAACATACAGAACTCATACGAAGGGCCCCATTGCATGGATGGCAGTCCACGAATTCATTTCACATGAGGACTGACGTCAATCAAGACTGATTTCACTCACCTTCCCTCTATCATCTGATTGTGGAATGAAATATGAAGAATTCCGCGCGTTAGGAGTATTGACGATGACAGTGAACCTCTTAGGGAAAGCCGGATGATTTTAACCCGGCAAGTGACTTATGTATTCTATCCCAAATGCAGTAATAAATACGGATGGAGGTTATCATAATGGTGGCGGCATCCGCAGCGTCAAGTCTGAACATTCACAGAGGAAAAAGATTGTCAAGCAAAATACAGTGATCAACGACCAAACCGCACATCATGGTTAAGTTGTGAAAAGGGTGAAAGCCACTAAATACAGGGGGAGCATAACTGAAAAAATTAGTGGATGTGATGCATATGTGACATTACGAGATATCAAAGAGATGGATATTTGAAACCTTCTTCCAGCCCCAAATAAAACTTTTTTTAAGGCAAATGTAAAAACAGTGATATCGTACGGAGCTGAATGGAGAACATACAGAACTCAGAACAACTGTCTACAAGTCAACATCAAAGTCTGTGTCTTTAATATGAACGTCAAGACAGTTCTACTGTTCGGAGCTGAAAACTAAAGGGTTATTACAACCATCATCATAAATGTATAGATATTTACCAAAAAATGGTATACGCGAGATACTCAATGTTCTTTGGACGGATACCTTCAGCAGCAGCCTACTGATGGAGAAAACAAACCAACTTTTCTGAAGAGGAAATTAAGAAAAAGGCTTTGAAGGTGGATAGAACATAGAATGCCGAAATTATTAG